TGTGTTCATGGCCCCTATTCTCAATGCATCTCTAGGCATAGGTTCTTGTGCATTCGAAGCAAACTAGCAGGAAGCAGATGTCTGGGAGTCAGATATATTACCCTGGCAGTTGGCTATGATTCCTCAGTGCTGAAGCAAAGGTACTCTGCACATGCTCAAGGGCATTCTTTATTTTATTTTTCTAAATTTTAACTGTAGGGAAGCCATTGTGATATTGTTGGCCTAGATTTGTGACTGATCAAGTTTTAGAGCCTATTTGCTCAAATTTCAAAGTGCCTATCAAACAAAACCAGAAAACAATAGATTGTAAAATCAGTTTAAAATGGCTCTCCTGCTCTATCTATCCTACATTAATAATATTCCTGTGTAAAAACACACCAAGAAGGACACTTCTAATGTCAACTGTGAAAACGTTCTAATATTCCTAGAACTACTAGGAGTAAAAACAATCTGATTTTCTTGCTTGCTTTATTCTTCAAACCATTTCTTAACGTTGATCATCCGTTAAAATTTTCTGTCCTTTTGTTTGCCAGATCAATCAGATGCTGTGTCCAACTAGTTCTTCCGGCTTAAGGAGATCCTCGCCTATCGAAAACCTTTGTTTATCTTGCAAACTTTTCGAGCAGTCGAGGCTGGATTTGTGCCACTACAGCCATAAAAGGCTCTTTACCACAAAAACAAACCAGCAGAGGGGGTATAGCTCAGTGGTAGAGCATTTGACTGCAGATCAAGAGGTCCCTGGTTCAAATCCGGGTGCCCCCTCAAGAATTTTTTTCTTTCACCCTTATGAATATGCTTGAGACAGCGCTTGTAATTTGATAGTTAGTACATACAAAAGGAGAACGGAAGCTTTTAAGAAATAACGTTGCATATGAACTTTGGTGCCATCGTTTTTGTCTAGTATAGATGAGAACAGGATTTATTACGCAAATTAAAATGCACGGATATTTTTCCCTATGATTGCTGGTCTCAGTTACAGGATTTTCCACCGATTGGGAAGGGTGCGAGTTTCGGACTGAGAAACTATGACCTTCTCTACTTTTCCGATATTGCAATACACATTTGTTAATGATCTTCCAACTGAATGTTGGGGCAAAATAGGAGGGTCTTTGGATTGGCAGGGAGCTTTGATTCTTTGGGAGGAAAAGATCTCCGAAACGAGATTTAGGCGCAAATGTATATTTAAACAGAAAAAAGACTCCCAGCATTCCCCAGACCTTTCTGACTAACCTGCGTTGAATCGCGCCCTTAATTCTCCCCCAAGATTCATAGGAGGTAATAGTGATTTCAAATATAAATTCCCGCCATATAGAAAAAATGAGTTGGAATCACATTTACGAAAGTAAAAATTCTCCCTCTCCCTCTCCCTCACCTCATACACGGACGGCGGGGGGGGGCTAAGGGTGTATTTCTCCGGCCTACCAAGAGGGGGCAATAGCTCATTCCAGATGGGAATGGGTAGGGGGCATTAAAAGACTCGAATTCAGGCCCCGAGCTCGCAAGAGGAAGTGCAACCACCAGATCTTTTTTTCTCGATGGAAATATCAGGTGTGGTTGCTCGCTCCATGCGGATCAGGGCCATAGTGGGGTACCTGGTGAGGGGAGGAAGGGTTAAACCTCCCTGCTTCCCACCCCAAAGTCCTGGTCTGCATCGCCCCATCCCTGCGTTTTCACTTTGAAGTTCATTCAAGCAATTGTTAGCATATGCTTTAGCATGACCATCAGAGCTAAATTTCCCTTTATGCGGGAAATTCGTGATCGCATTTTTATTGTAGGCTTTTAACAAAATAGTTAATACTGCAGTCCTATAAATGCCTACTCAAAAGTAAGCCCGTGTGTGTGAAATAAGCAACAGGGCGCACTCCTGCGCGTTTAGGCAGAAAAAAGTCCACCAGTCACCTTTTTCCAATCGAAACCTGCATAGTATTGTGTCCTCAGTCTCCAGTAGGTCCACATAGGGGGGAACCTACGGCTTCCCTGATATTGCTGGACAGGACTACAAATCCCATTATCCATAACAGTTACTGTTGCCGGCTGGGGTTGATGAGAGTGGGCAGGGGTGGGCGTCAGTTCCCCAATCCTGGTGTAGAAGTCTGCATCCTAAGAACTACATTAGGAGCTAATTTAGATGTTAGTGACAGGAATGTACACACGTGTCTGTTGTATGAGTAGTTATGGAAGAGGGATCCGCATTTGGACCATGCTTTGTACTGAAAGGGGAGTTAACTGTTCCTTCCTGAATTGTAGCTTGATTAACCCCACCCAAGCCCCCGCTATTGCCCTGGAAGGGAAGTTCACATTGACATCAAAGCTATTGGGTGGCATTGAATGCATATATTATTTTATAACCCACTTTTCTTTATAAAATGAACTCAGCATGGTTTACCAAAAAGCTTGTGAAATAGGTAATAAAGTTTTTAAACGCTCCAAATTACTAAAACCAATTCTGTACAGTAATAACAAGATGTATAAGGGGAGGTATATGACTGGATTTTGCTACATCATTTTCCTCTTTTAAAAAGTGGTTGTGATGTGGGAAAGAAACCTGTTTTAATTGTCTGCTTCAGGATGTTTGTGTCAGTAGACCAAATGAATTCAACTGGACTTAAATTATGCTGGCTGGAGATTATGGGAATTGAGTCCAACGTGTCCCAGATGATACCAGGTTGGCAAGGGCTATGCAGTTTGGTCCTAGAATGCAGCTGTAAGGGGCTTTGCCACCAACAAGGGCTTCCCTGAGAGTTATTTCAGCAGGACACCAAATAGCTCTGGAATAAAACATTCCAGAAGATTTTCCACTGGACAGGGGCAGTGGTTCAGTGAGGCCATTCCTGCCATCTGCCCATCTCCAGCTGTTTGTCCCCAGCATTGCGAAAATATCTGGATGTCCACTGCTAAAAGTGGCATGCTGCAAGAAACGGACCCCTGACCTGACCAAGTAATGCACTTCTTATGTTCAAGGCTAGACTGTGAGGAAACATTTTAAACAGTTTATAATCAGAGAAGTTCATGCTTCAGTATACACAAAGAAGCTGGCCAAGAAATGGGCAAAAATAGCATTTTTCCATTTGGCACATGGTGCGTGCATGTGTGCATGCATGTGCGTGCATGTGTGTCCATTTGAGTGGTAGCTGATTTGTTGACCACTTCTCAAAAACCTCTCTTAAAGCAGAGCAACTGTTCAGCAGATGCTGACTGCTGTGCGAGTCCAAAAGAAAAAGATGTGAAATGTATTGCAACATATGTCCCATTTTTCCTCCTCTTTCAAGGAACCCAAGTGGCTGACAAGGTTCTCATCCTCTCCATTTTCTGTTTACAAGAACCCTGCGAAGTAGGCTTGGCTGGCAGTCAGTAACTGGCCCAAAGTCACCCAGTGGGCTTCATGGCTGAGTGAGGATGAGAACCTGGATCTCCCAAGCATCAGTCTAAGCACTAGATAAAATTACGTATTGTATTGGTCTGTCATAGGTCTGTGTAGGACCAGGCAATCTTTCCAGTTTCAGAGAATTCTTGATCAGAAAACAGGCCACTCCAACCCCTGAGGACTGCATATCTTACTTAACAACCAGAAAACTTCTTATTCTGGATAGAAGACAAAGCTGGAGGGCGGGAGGGGGGAGTTACTGGAGGCAACCACAGCAAGTCCATGCCATATATGTATTTCTGTGTGAGAGTGAGATTGAGAGAGAGAATAGTGGGAAATATTCAACAACATGGTTCTGATTCTGCTGTAAAGTTGCCCATCACCATCCTTTTTCAATAAAACACCCAGCTAAAACATGCTGCTGATATTCTGGCAAGAGAAGAGATGCAGAAGACATGAACTGAAGCGGGGCGAAGGCCTGGAGTTCATACTTTCAACCCCAGGTCCAGGCTGACTTTGCTAGGACTAGACAAAATACTTCAACTTCCCACAGTGCCAGTGTGGAATCTGAGGTCCTCCAGATGATGTTGGACTACAGCTCCCATAATTTCTGACCATGGATGCTGGCTGGGGTTGATGGGAGTTGCAATCCACCATGGAGCTAACTGGGTGACTTTGAGCCTGCCACAGACTCTCGGTCCAGCCTACCTCACAGGGTTGCTGTTGTGAGGATAAGATTGAGGGATGGAGAATAATGTAAGCCATCATGAAAGGAAAAAGGCAGGATAAAAATATAATACATGAATTTTTAAAAAATTAACTGGAAGGTTTAATGTTAGGAAATAGCTGAGTGATATCTTTGGATTTGGTATGCAGTAGAGAAAGGGATATAATTATAATGCAATAAAAGTCTAGCTAATATTTTCATCACATTATTTATTAATAAGTAGAACTTATTTATTTATTTATTTATTTATTTATCAGTGTTCCACAATCCTGTGTTTTCCAGACAGATTAGAACTAAAAATTATATCTGCTGCTGGTGGTATTTGCAGTCTAACTCATCCAGAGGCTACCAGGTTGAGGAAGGCTGGTTTAGATTGGCCTTGAACCCCTCACCATGCAATGCATTTCATTTTTGGGGTGTGACCTGGGAACACAGTTTTGCTGTTGGAAGATGATGTGGGGGGGGGGGAGCGCTTTCAAGAACATTTGCAAAGGGAACAGAGGAAAAAAAGAAAAGCACTTAGGGATGAGCTGAGAAGACCCTGCCCCTTCAAGCTCCAGAGGGGAACAAGGAGTGGCCGGAGGCGCCACAAAAGCTCCCTGAACGAGCGTAGCACAGAGACAAAAAGACCAAGCAGTGAAGATGCTGCACCTAATGAGCATCCAGTGAATGCTCGACTGTTGGTGAGTGTTCGGGTTGGCTTTTTCTGGATGTTTTAAGCACAGGCTCCTGAAGGAAGCACATCGGAGAGCTGAGCTGAAGAGGAAGAGATGGACATAGACAGCAGCTTCTTGTGCATGCAGAGATTCAGTTTGGATTTAGGAGCTTAGAATAATTTCTTTGGGAAAAATTCAGCATAATATAATCAAACCTTCTTCCAATTTGGATGGCACCAAAATTCTGAGCACCATGGAAGAATCAGTCCACGCAGGGAGCTTCGTGACAGCTGCCCTTTGCTTCTCCCTCCTGAATTTGGCTTATGCATTGGTAAGTCCATTCCATGTTGCCTTTCTTCATCCAGTTTGTACTGATTGTACCGTTCATCTTCTGACCTGACCGGCAAACATTAAATGAGACTTTTGAGCAAGTCTTCTTTTCCCAGGGCTAATTATTTCATGGTTAGGTTTATACAAAATATGCCCCCATGGCCTTGAGCAAATCCCATTAATTTCCCTGGAACTTACCTGATCCTAATAGATTTTGCCTTGTCTTAGAGCAGGCTTTCCCAATCTAGTGCCCTCTAGAAGCAAAGGATTGCACTCCCATAATCCCCAGCTGAAGCATCCACAAGGCATGTTGGATGATGGGATCTGGAGTCCATATCAATTAGCCTGATGAAGCATTCTGGAGGACTTGAAAGCTGGCATGTGTGTGGAATTTTGTTTGGTGCTAATGAAGACGTTGCCCCAAAATGGACAGAAATACATTGATCTGATGGTCTGAGCACAAGTAAGGACAAGGACAGACCCCCCTTCCCCCTTCTTTGACTTAGTCAAAGAGTTCTTTTGATTGGCTTTGTTAAACTAATATGGATTTTGGAATGTTGTATATGGTCAACAAAATTATTTGTTTATTTATTTATTATAAAATTAGCTATGCTTTTTGTGTGACTTAGGATTAAATGGTTGTGAGGCCAGGAATTTGTCCTGAGTACCAGAATTGAATAAAGCTCATGATCCTGCCACACACAAAAAACATTCCTGTCTACCCCAAATGTTATTTTAGCAGTATAATTTTGAGCAATGTCTATCGTGAGCCCAAATCCCCCATTGTTTCTTCTGCCCATCCTCAAGTACACCTGTGGCAGGCTGGGGGAAGTTCAAGATCTTCTGGCAATTTGGGGTAGATTGATATGCCAGCAGCTGAAAAGCAGCAACAACAAGGAAACCATTTTTCACTCTAAATTAGGTCTTGGAAATAAAGAAAACTTGGGGGTGGAGAGAGAAAGCAGGTGTGGATTTTTGCATGGAAGGTCTATGAACTTAGTCCTGGTACTGAAATCAAATCCTTGGATGAAGCAACTATTCCTTAATTCTGCATCCTCAATACTTTGTATCCAGCTCTAGTTGATGCAAAGTATTGCATCAATTAACCAATTAACAAGTAGATCCCAGGCTTAAAAAGTAGATCCCCTCTCTCCCTGCAATCTACACTGAGTGGCAGTAGACCTCCTGGATTTCAGACGGGGTCTTTCCCTCCTTGATCTGGATTGCAAAGTCCAGGCTTAAAATGAAACTGGTGCACTTGGAACATTTTGGGGTGTTTAATGTAGAATTTGATCTGGGCTTTTATATTTTTCCCTCCCTTCTTTGCCTTTTAAACTGCTCTGAGCCTCAAAAGTGATTGAACCAGGAATAGGCTCTATCACGGAGCTTCCTTCCGACTGCAAAGGTTGGTCCAACTCAACTCCAACCCCTACCCCAAATCTTTACAGGTAAGAATACCACAGCACCATCCCATACCAGAACAGGCCACAACTAAGCATGTGAAAAAGGCAGCAGCGAGAGAGCAGTGTGGAAAAGGTCTTATCAGCAGCCCGTTTTCTGGTAAACTAAGCGCAAAGCAAGTGTTTTTCTGGTCACAGCCGTTTCCCCCGTCTGCTCGCTGTGTGTGTCATCGGGCGGCAGAGCTGGTGCTTGTTAACTTCTGCACATGGCTGTCAAAAGCAGCATGAGACAAGAGATGCCTTGTTCTTCACTGGATGGGCTGTGGCGCTGCAGTTCAGTGCAGGGAAAGCAGGATGGCAGTTTGTCCACAGCGTGACAGGTGTAACAAGCTGGTGCAAGAATGCCGAGGCCTGCATTAGAAACATTTCAGCAGTGAAAAGAGAACCTTTGGCGTCTCCAACAAGCAATGCTGCTTCGTCCTTTCCAGGCTGCCCAATTACCCCTGTGCTATCACTGAATGGTAGTCAGAGCAGGTGGCCGGGGTGGCTTGGTCAAACACCTGCCAAGGGCCCATGCTTCCTTGGGGGGGCACAGGCAAGAGGGCCCTCGACATGCTCCTTCTTTGCAGTAGCCCAACCTGCACGTTCAGCCACTCTCACTCTTGTTTGAGGAAACAAACAAGCATGGTAGGACGCAAGCAAATCCTTGTCGTCAGGAGTCCCGGTCCTGTCCCAGCACAGCCCACCTGTTCAGGGGGAGGAGGAGGAAATGCAGCACAGCAGCTGGCGATGGGCTGTGAGGTCGTGGGCTGACCGAGTGAAGGGTATCGTGCCCGAGGGCCCTTGGAACGGCTCCACGGGAGTTCACACAGGAGGTGCAGCTTCTTTTCTCTCATGTGCCCCTTCGAGCTCCACTTGCTTTCTCTCTTTCTGCCCTCCTTGTCTCTCTCCCCCACCTGTTCTCTCTCCCATGCGTTCTCTCTCTGCCACCCTTCTTCCTCTCCCTCTCTCTCTCTCTCTCTCTCTCTCTCTCTCTCTCTCTGCCATCTCCTCCCCCCCCCCACGAATCTCTCTCTCTGCTGCCCTTCTCTTACTCTTGCCCCCATTTCGCTTCCCCTCTGCCCCTGGCAGGCTGCCAGGAAACAGACAGATTGGCTTATCAGAGATCTGGCTTGCTTGCTTGCTTGCAGAGAGTTCTTGAAATTAAGCTAAAGACCACATGAAATTAGACTGAGTTTGCCTATTCCTTATTAGAAGGATTTTGTATTTGTGTGAGCTCAAAACCCTCCCCCCCCAAAAAAAACAGGTTTAAAGGCAACAATTTTATGTCCATCTTTCCATCATGCCTGCATAATCTGTGGCAGTGCAGCATTTTTATCAGTTTCTAGTGACTGAAAAGGCCTTGCTTTTTATTTAGGGACAGAAATTTTGATTGGTTCAGATCTGAAAAGCCTAGCATTTATTCCATTATGCAATTTTAAAAAATCTCTTTCTGATTCTAAGTATATATCTGTGTTGCCTCTGATTATATCTTCTCTGTACCAGCTGGTTTTACTAGGATGCTGCCACTGTCTTTCCCAGGCGACTCCAACAGTGATGGAAATTTCATTATTGATAAGTCTTTATCAGCCTTCTCAAAATGTCCTGTGCAGCTGGGTGAATTAATTGCAGTTGTTGCCACTGGGGCCTGCTTCCATTGTGTCTGTTGCCATATTGTTTTCTCACACACAGCTCTTCCATTTCCTGACAATTTTGCACAGGAAATGAGCCAGTCACCGGCAAATACAAAGCAATTACCAAGCCCCTGGACATTGTTTTTCATGTGTTTCATGCCTCCAAAGGCTTTATATACATAGCCATTAAGGGCTGAGTTCCTGAGTTGCATTTTATCTCCATTCGCTGTCAGATTCCTTGGACGTTATCTGTTCCTCCTGATGCATTCCAGTCTTCAATGTTAAACATTAAAATAATATCAACAACTTATTACATTGTCATCCCAGCTGCCTCCAGTTTGGTACCCACCAGGCTAGGTGTTCGGTTCCTCTCCTGGCTGCCCAGCAAGGATAATGAAAGCTGTAGCCCAACACATCTAGAAAGCACTAGGAACATACATGAATTAGCCCAGAAGTCATGGCCTCTGGCTGATGCAGTTCCAGGAAGGGAGGAGCTAAATGGTACCTGGTCCCAGCTGAGCCAATGGAGGAGGCTCTGCTGTCTCAACTCTTCCTCTGATAAAGCCAGGTAGAATGGCAACTACCTGGCGCGATGGATTCAGTTTTGAGAGGGATCAGCCTGGTCCTACACGAGCCCACACAGCGGGCCTCTCCGCTTCCCCTCACCTCTCTTCCTTTCTTTGGCAGGTGGACACTGATGATGTTCTAACCAAAGAAGAACAGATTTACTTGCTCAATCAAGCTAAAGCAAAATGTCACAAAGAGATAATTGCCCAGCAAGAGAGAATTCAAGGTACCTGCTTTTTCTGCACTGTTAAGTTTTGCTTGGCACTCCGGTTAACATGTAAAAGAATCATTTTCTGGGAAATTTTAGGGCCTGCAGTTCACACTGAACAGCGGAGAAAACCATGGCAGTTATTAAACACCGCCCCCTACTGGAGGAAGAGAGCAGAACTTCATGCTACCACATGCCTTCTTGTTATATTCTTGTTCCTATTAATATTGTGCTATTATCTTCTTGTTGTTTTCAGGCATTGCCATACATGGCAAATAAGGGCATACATTTGCATAAAGTTCGCATGCACTGATTTATATGTATAGATGAAATCTCAAATAAAGGCTTTAGGTGAGATAGAAATATCATACATTGTTGTGAGCCGCCCCGAGGCTTCGGCGAATGGGGTGGCATAGAAATGTTTTAATAAATAAATAATAAAATAAATTTCACCATATGGAGGGAGCAACTGTGACCGATTGATCTGGGCACCTGCCTGCTCAGTTTGCTGTCCTGGTGCTGCCAACTGTTTGGCAGCTTCAAAGCTCTCTGCTTGTGTTTCTTCATCCTTAAACTGAACCAGGACATGAGAGAACATGGATATGGACTCTTGTCTGCACGCACTCTTAAATCTCATTTCCCTGATGCAAGGAGATGCATCCACCTTCCTCGCCTTGGTCCCGCTATGCAGAGCAGTGAATATGTATCTTTCCCTTGTTAGACGGTCACTGTTTGCCTGAGTGGGATGGGATTATTTGCTGGCCTGAAAGCTTCCCGAACAAAAGAGTGGCAGTCCTCTGTCCCGACTACGTCTATGACTTCAACCACAATGGTGCGTATGCTTTCTCTCATGCCTCCTTGGAAGGCTCAGCGTCTATTTAGATGTTGTTGATCTTGCCTTCAAGAACAGAGCTGTGCTTAAAGAAGAGCCATGCTGACTCAGACCCAGGATCTATCTAGTCCTGCATTCAGTCTGCTCAGTGGCCAGCTGGATGCCCATGGGAAGCCCTGAGCACAACACCCCCTGCCCTGCCCTGCCCTGCCCTGCCCTGCCCTGCCCTGCCCTGCCCTGCCCTGCCCACACCTCCAGGTGTGCCCCTCAGCCAAGGATATGGAGGCAGAAAGCTTCTGATGCTGAAGGTAAACTAGAGCCACCAGGTCTAGCAGTTCCAATAGCCTTATTCTCCAAGGATTTGTCTAATCGTTCAAGCCATTCGAGTTGGCAGCCCTCACTAGATCATGGGGAGGTACATTCCATAGTTCAGGGATGTGCTGTGTAAGAACGACTTACTTTTATCTGTCTGGAATCTCCTGACATTCAACTTCATTGGATGGCCCTGGATTCTAGGATTATGGGGGAGTTCTTTCACATGGCACATAATTTTCTGTATTCTGAGAAACTAAGAGAGGGGAAAGTCTGATCTTTCTCCATCACAAGTACTGTGGCTTACTGTCAGAGTAGATTGGTTGTGTATTTCACTGTGTAGCTCCATAACTCCCTGAACCAAAATAATCCTCTCAAGGTAGTTGACAATATATAGTTATCATAAAATAAGTTAAAAGTCAAACAATAATAACCACCTAAAAACAAATCATTCTAAAATCAACAGTAAGCAACAAGAACAATTAAAATTACAACTTTAGGGCATAGACCAGGCTTATTATCAGTTGAAAGTAGATATAATCAAGCAGGCCTTCCTTTACAGTGTTCAAATGAGAGCACCAAAACCATTTCCTGTGGGAGGGATTTCCACATTAATGAGCCCACCACTAAAAAGGCCTCATTTTTCATGCTTCCCAGTGATGGACCTTAACAGCGAGCCTAAAAGCAGGGCTTCAATGGTCTGTCCTAAGGGTTCTGCAGCACTTCAGTTATTTGCATGGGAAGAAATTTCCGATTTGCCTCAGGACTGCAACAGGGGAGCAAAATAGTCCATTCCCTTCTCCATACCAACTGCAATCCCAACAGTTGTCAGCCCCACACAATGAATGCTGTTTGCATTTGGTAAAAATCTGCATGTTAAATGACACTGCATTGGTCACACCTCACATGTCATTTGGGGTTCTTAATGGCAACAGGCTAGTTGCTTCACAAGAATTATTATTTTAATTTCTATATTGCCCCATGGCCGATGCTCTCTGAGCAGTTTACAGCAGTGCATAAAACAAAACAATGATAAGGAAGTCGAATAGATTGGAAGGTTGGTTAGTTTTGAAGTGTAAAATTATATTTCAATGGGGAACCAGGATGGTGGGAGGAAATTGGTCTTGTTTGTTGGGAAGCCCAGAGAACCATTCCTCTAAAAGGGTATACTGGGCGACGAGCCTGGCTTGGAAATAGGATCTGCCCAGGACTGCTTAAAGCAAAGAACAAGATGGAACTCCTTCCCTCAGTCCACATGCCGGAGCTGGCAGAAGGTGCAAGCAAGTGCTGAAAAGATTTGAGGTTCAGCTAATCCGGGGGATTGGATGCACATGGGATCCCCCAGGACCTTTGCACCGTTATGTCAGCAAGTGCCCATGGGCAGCGGGGTGGTGGGGCAGGTGGGCTTCCAGAGATTCAGAGCTCCAGGTGAAAGCACCAGGACTCCAGCTATAGTGGGCCACTCTTTAAGGCCACCTCTGGTTGTCAAGACAGGCATTTTAATCTTCCTTCAATAGCGGCAACATAGCAGCGTCCTCAGTGCTCCTGCAGGCTAGCTTATGGGGGATACAGCACCACTGCTGTTCTCCCCTTCAGCATCTGACACCTGAGAGAGCCGCCTCACTTTGCCTTGAGGCAGAGTTTGCCCAGGAAACAGCCCCTTCATCCCACTGTGTCACAGCTGACATTGGGCAGAGAAAGCCCCTTAATGCACGATCAAAGAAATCGCAAAAGCCTGTCCTTTTGAAAGGCTGCTGATGCTGAACCTTGCAAACATTTCCCCTTCCCCTCCCCTTCCCTGCCAGATTTTTCTTTCTGACCCTTGCCTGTCTTTTATTTCAGGTCATGCCTACAGACACTGCAATGTCTATGGGAATTGGCAGTTGGTGCCCGACATGAACAAGACTTGGGCCAATTACACAGAATGTGCCGTATTCTTTGCCGCGGAGCAACATCGCCAGGAAAGGGTAAATGCCTTAATACAGCTAGGGCAGAACTGTGTGCCTGCTTACACAGGAAACAGTGCAGCTAGCTGCAAAACAGAGAGTTGTAGGACCTTTTTCTTTCAAAACATACAACAATCGCACCCTTACTGGGGAGGTTTGAGGACTGAGAGGAAGCAAAGCTTGTAGAATCAGAAATGCCTGCCTTGGCTTACCACAGGCAGGTAAGTCTAGGCAATCTACCTGTCTTTCTAAAGGTTGGTGAAAGGCATGGGGAAAACATAGTTATTGTTTCTGATTATTTTAAAATAGCTCCAAATGACATGGGAGCAGAAGAAATTACCAAGGAATTTGTAGTGGTGTATAACATTCAAATCTGTGATTCTCTACTACCAAGAAGGGGAACTTGGTAGCTGTGGGCTGAATTTGGCCTGTCAATGGTGAGGAGTCCTGGGATCTGTTGTCCAGAATATAGGGAGGGCACCAGACTAAGGAAAGCTGGTTTAGCGGCATCATTTTACATGCTAGGTTTAAGACACAGCATGTTTGCTCATGTGGCGAGTGCAATTTGGCAACAAACCAGCAGAGATCTGGGTCAGGTGGCAAAACCCCCTTCTTTGCAGCTTCATGGAAGGCAACTACATGGGCAGAGGATAGTCTGTTGATAGTGGTCAAGAAGGAGTGTTTGACCTGACATCAGTTAGGGGGATTGCCCCAAAGTGACTCTTCATGCAGAAATGTCTCTCTTCCCCCCTGTCCACCTAGGAAGTGTTTGATCGCCTGCACATCATCTACACAGTTGGCTACTCCGTTTCCCTTACCTCCCTGGTGGTTGCCATGTGCATCCTCTGCTACTTCAAGTAAGTGGGAGAGATCTTACTGCCTCCCCTGACCCACCGCCTTGCCCTAGTGCCATGCAGAAAGATGATCAGGGCTCGCAACTTACTGGAAGTTGTGCTTCATTTTTAACATGTTCCCACACACATGGGGCTGGTTGTGGTAAGTCACGTGGTGCCTGCTTAGTGAAACTTTTGCAATTGCTTACATTGCATGCCTGAGCTGTGGCACTGAAGAGTTTCGAGCTCTCAGCCTCCGTGGCAGAGGGGTGAGAGTGCTGGACTAAGACTCAGAAGATCCAGGTTCTAGTTGCCCTGAAAATCAATGGGTGAATTTGGACCTGTCACTCACTCTCAGCCTAACCTACCTCACAGGGTTGTTGTTGTGGGGATAAGACTGAGAGGAGGAGGAGAACTTTGTAAGCTGCCCTGGGTTCCTAGAAATACAAGCATATTTACTAAGGGCCTTGGCTCAAATTAAACCTTCACAAGCAGCAAACCATCAGTTTGTATTAGTGGTTGTCTTGCTGTGGGTATACACAGAAGGTGGCATCCTGTGATATGGATTCTGTTATATGCTGCAGTCGCTGCTGTTGCATGGCTAGTACATTCCCTTTCCCCTGGTGTAAGTCCTGGGCAAGGATCCAGGTGCAAACTGCCACTGACTATGCCATGAATCTTGTTGTAGTGCTCTTGGGCAAGTCATTTCCTCCCTCTTGGCTTCCCCTCCCTCACAGGCTTGCTGTGGAGGAAAACAGGGTGGGAAAGGAAGAGAAAACACACACACACACGAGGAAACGTGGGATGTGGGTGCTATTCATAAACAACATTAATCCAATCCTGCATGGCTAATGTGTTTAAGGCGGCTTCACTGCACACGGAATTACATCCACCTTCACCTCTTTGCTTCTTTCATCTGCCGAGCCGTGAGCATTTTTATAAAGGATGTGGTGCTGTACTCGGCTGCACGGTCTGAGGGGCTGCAGAAAGCAAAGGAGGACAACTGGTCTGCTGAAGAGCTGAGTCTCTCCTTGGGATCCAGGACCCAGCTGGTAAGCCCCAGCTGCGGAGGGCATATTCTCCTCTAGTAACTGTCAAGGTAGCAGTGATGCACAGCTGTATTTAAGGATGCCCACTTTACTTTAAGAAAGACAGAAATGGGCTGCACCATCTTTTAGGCCTAGGGAATGCCAAGAGGGCCACACGTGTGTGGGCAGGGTGGTGGAGGTGTGCTTATGCACCCATACATGGGGGCAATGGGTGGCTTTAAACCTCATTCCTATCCCAGCAATCCTGCTCAAGATTGGTGAGGTGAGGGAGGGGGGAATGCACAAGAAGGATCTGGGAACCTCAAGTCCTGCACTCCTGATGTAGACAAATTGAAAGAGGTTCAGATGAAGGCACTGAAGAGTGTCAGCTGTATGGAAAACAACTCTAGCTAGGAAACTTTGAAGGAACTGAACATGTTTAGCGTGGAGGAGACTGGCCAGAGTAGGGAAGGGCAGAGAGGGAGGGAGGATGGCAGTCTCCAATTATGGGAAAGGCTGTCACTTCACAGAAAAGGGCTAAGACTTTTCCCCAGAGGGTAGGACTAAATCTAATGCTCTTAAGTTAAGGAGGGAAGATTCCAGTTGAACACGAGGAGAAAGTTCTTGAAAGAGCGAGCATTGTGAAAATGGAACAAATAACCTACAGTAGCAGGTGGCCCTCCAGTTTTGGCCTATAATTCCCATTCTTCCTCACCATTGGTAGACAGGAGTTTCAGGCCAAAAGAACTGGAAGGCCAAACATTACCCACACCTGAGAAGAAGGGTTGGCTCTTCATCACTAGAGGTTTTTGAGCAGAGGCTGGAGAACCATCTGTTGCAGATGCTTTAGCTCAGGATCTTGCAGTGATCTCAGGGTGAAACTAGGTGGCTGACAAGGTGCCCTCAGATTCTGTAACTCTTCTTGGAGAGGTGAGGAAAGTAGTGATTTCAGAACGCCCAAGCTCAAAAGGGTTTCTTAATCATGCAACATGTTCCAACATAGTGGTGATCATGGGATTTGATCCAATGAATTCAACGTGTTTCTTTCAAAGTACCACTGGATCTTCAGCTAGCTAACAGAAACTATTGTTTGGATACAAACTATCCTATTGTAATTAGCAGGGCAAAGTCATGGCTAACTTAAGACCCACTGTTTTGAATGGAACTGGAACATGACCAACTTAGCCTGCAGCATAACCAAAATCTCGAACGAAAATCAACATAGTGGTTTGGATCCAGACTTAAGCACGCTTTGAACAGACCCACTAAAATCAATGGGACTTAACTCCCACTGATTTTTCTAGGCTTAAGAATACTTAAGTCTGGATACAACCCATTGTGCAAAAACAAACAAGGAGCAAGGGTTTAGGAACAGGATGTTGGTATTTGACAGTCCTAAATTACTTGATTATGTGGGGGTGTAAGGTTTGTTCTGGGAAATGAGCATGTGGAATCCACCCTCTTCAGAGGAGACACTGCCCAGCGTGCCCCCAGCTTTAGAGCTGAGGTTGGTGGCTACCAAGGATAGGGCTTTGCCAGTAGTTAGTGGTCACAACAGTGAATGCCAAGCTGCAGTTTGCCAGACTAAAATGCAGTTAGTTTTACTCCTAAGCATTTAATTTCATGCCTGTTGTTAAACTGCTTTTTGTCTGTTTTTTGCTTAATATATACAATTGGGGTGGGGCAGGAGAAAGGTGGGCAGGAGGCAGAGATGTTATTGTGAAACGACATCCACAAATTTGGCCTAGTTTCTTTAAAAGGCACTTTCGTATGCTTCTTTCTCCATTTATTCAGGCCGGCTGCAAGGTTGCTGTGACTGTCTTCCTGTATTTCCTGGCTACCAACCACTACTGGATCTTGGTTGAAGGCCTCTATCTCCACAGCTTGATCTTCATGGCTTTCCTCTCAAACAAAAGCTACTTGTGGGTTCTTACCCTCATTGGGTGGGGTAAGCACAGTCCAGTTCACTCCCTGCCTCCTGCTCTTCCAGACATCTTACAGGGGGATCCACAAGGACGAGAAGGCCAATCTGTGGAGACCTTTCAGGATGAGATCAGATCTATATGTCTGAAAGGCCTCATTACCACAGCCACTCGCAGCCACTCTTCCCTGTCTAGCTGCTTCTCTCCACACCCTGCTGCTCTTCCAGTTCAGAGGCTGAAGTGGACCATACCACACATATGCAGTCAGTGTATGCCACTGATCACACATTTAACCCTACAGCAGGGTGGGCAATCTGCAGCCCTTTGTACACCATCAGTTCGGAGCTCTGGCAAGAACAATCTATCCCTCAAAGCCCACTGGGGAGGGTGGGAGGGAGAGAGAGAAAAAAGGGGTGGTGGCAAAGGAAAGAGAAAAGGAGTTGGCTCCTTTGGGCTTTCACACCTCCTCATCTAGCATTGGCCGTGGTTTCACTCACCACCAACACGCAGCCTCCAACAGGTTATCCAGGAGGAAATGTGGCCCACAGCAGAAATTAGGTTCCCAACCCTGCTTTCAGATTGCACTGGAAACCCAGATATCTTTCTGCTTGCTTTTGTTTTTCTTCTTCCTTTGAGGGGTACCTGCTGTCTTTGTGTCTGTTTGGGCCAGTGTAAGAGCATCTCTGGCTGACACACAGTAAGTAGTTTCTGTATCTCTTAAAACACTATTTTGGAAGATTTGGAACAAGATTGAAAATTGGGGGGATGTGTTAGTGACTGAAGAGGGGCTGGCTTAGTCTCATTATCTTCTAGGGTAAGGTTTCTATGTCTGAAATAAACAATTAAAAATCCACATGCCATGGACAGACCTCCAACGGACAGCTGTTTGTTCGTGGCTGAGGTGGGAAACTTCAAATTCACACTGCAGGGCTCCGCAGGATGTCAAGCCCCTTCCCCCGGCCCCACCCTTTTCCCTCAACTGAGGAGCTTTTGTGCGTTTCCCTTTTCTGAAGGATTGAGATTCCACTCCTAAGGCTCCATTACTAGCAGTAAGAGCTTTAGGTTAAAATTTGCTGGTGTTTGGCCTTCAGCTACACCAACTATTAGAATGTGGTCCCCGAGAGTCTCTCCAAAATTACATTTGGCCATCAGGCTGAAAAAGGTTCTGCATCCCTCCTCTAGCGTAACACTGTCCCAGCTGCCCATCATTATGGAGGCAATGGCCTGATGTTGGGAAAACCCAGGCACTGATAAAATCTGTGCCAAAGATTCTGCAATCAAAAAGATATGTTTTTGAACACATGGCTTCAACTCCCAGCAGCCCCCAGCCAGCTATGGAAAGACACTAGGTTGGGAGGGCTAGATTACAACATTAACTTAAAGTACCCTACACATGATAATCATTAAGGCTGGAAAAATTAAGATGTCCACAGGCTGTGCGATCCAACCATGGCCTAAACTTTGTGCTGTGTCACAAGGTAATAAAAAGACTCGGGTCAACGCCAAATCTCAGACGAAGAACGCTGTATAGACACATCCCTTTTGGGCTGACTGCAGCCTCTCTTAATTAGGTGCTGGGACCTCAGTGCTGGAAACATGAAATGGATCTACCAAGTCCCTATCTTAGCAACGATTGTGGTAAGGGCACTTCTCAATTGGGGGTTGATCTATAGTCCCAATGGGTTAGGGTGGACTAGGGATGAGGCAGTAAACAGTTCCTGTTAATTAAAAAAAAAATGCAGAATAGCAGGCATTTCCTCCCATATAAATTTCTCTGCCTGGGTTAAGATTTGCCTTCAGGATGCTACTAAGGGCACCAATCTTTGTGGATGCAATTTGTGACATTCATTAGGAGCATGGTCCATTCAGTAGTTTCCCATGCTCCTTGTCCAGGAAATGCCTTTAGCTCTACCTCTTTTCAGGAATGGCGAAAGAGGAAAACATTCTTATTCTTCTGGGTTTTGAGAATCATGTCCACAAAGGCTCAGGCAGGAGGTCAGAGGCTGAAGACTGAAGTCATATAGTCCTGCTACTCTTTGGATTATTGTTATTATTACTGTTTTATTTGAATAATGTTAATTGTTTTTATGTTTTTAGCCACTCAAAGGGAATAGATGAGCAAATGAATAAAAATGAAACTAAGTTAATTTCACTGGCTCAATATATTTTTTATTGCTGACAGGTGAACTTTTTTCTATTCCTCAACATTGTGAGGGTCCTTGCATCCAAACTATGGGAGACAAATGCAGGGAAACTAGATCACCGGCAACAGTATAGGTGAGCACTGAAGGCTTCCTCCTTTAGCACAATATATAGTATCTCCTCACTGACAGTGGATACTATGCTGCAGTCCAGATCCCTTAATCATTTCACAGTGTTGCAAACTCAGCATTTGTGTATAGCAACTACGTAGCAGTGACTTCCCAGGGTTTCAACAGGGTCTATCTTTCCATCCTTACTGGGAGATGCTGGAGACTTGAAACATGGGCCTTTTAATATGGCACACAGGTGTCCTATCGCTGAACTATGGGCCATTACCCTATTCATCATGCATTGCCCATGTTCTCATCACACTTCTGCTTCTTTTAAAGCCCTCCCAACATAGAAACATAACCTATTATCTCCATTCTTCCCTCCCTCTCCATTGTAGCTTTTGTTCTGTAACAAGACCCAATTGAGTCAACTCAGCTCTAAAGAATCGGGTGGCATGATCATATACATATCCCTCACCCTTCATCTTTTCCTTTCAGGAAGCTGCTGAAATCCACTTTAGTCCTGATGCCCCTCTTTGGTGTCCATTATGTTGTATTCATGGCCATGCCTTACACAGCCATTTCGAGCATCCTCTGGCAAATACAGATGCACTATGAGATGCTCTTCAACTCTTTACAAGTGAGTCTTTGTGATGCCAAAGCCATGTGTTAGATCTGCTCCACTGCAATGCTTTTTTCCAACTATCATCTGTCTCTCTGAACAGGGTTTCTTCGTGGCTTTTATTTACTGCTTTTGCAATGGTGAGGTAAGAGACTTCTTTTAAGGTAATCTCCCTGTATGTGTGCACATGCATGCAAATGTGTATAAATTTGGCTCTTCTGTATATGTGTATGATGTGCATGTTTGCATTTTCTGTTCTGTCAATTCATGATGGAGTATCAACTTTCCCTGCCATGTATTTCCTCTCAGCAGAAAATGTGATACTTAAGCACAGTAATTAAAGTTCCAAAATGGAAAAGTTGCCTAGAACCAAAGCCCTTTAACATCCACTGTTCTTAATTGTTCCATAAAGTAGATATTGACTGGAGCTACCTCCATGGTAAAGGGTAATCTTAAATGACTAGCTGCACTCTCCATGCCTCCAGCTCTAGTTTTTCAGTCCTGTTTTTAATTTTGGAGTGGAATAAAAGCCCACATCTTTCAGCTAACATCTTTCTTGCAAACCCCAACTACACCTCAGGAATGTAGGTAGCATCCTACTCTTGGTACTCCCCACTTACCCACACAATAGCATTTGGGGGCTAATTTTCTATGGGAATAAAAGGTAGCAGAACACTGAAGGTATTGGAAAAGGGCAAAAAGGCACAAGAAAACAATGTTGTAAGCTGCCTCTGTTGTTGCTACCACCTGCTGAAGGCTGAGAAAAGGTATGTGAGTAATGACCTTATGTAAACTGCATTTCAATGATGCTCTACTTCTATCACCAGGTACAGGCAGAAATTAAAAAGGCTCATTTCCGAAGAAGCCTGGCACTGGATATAAAGCAGAAGCGCCGTGGCATGAATACAGGAGGGAGCTACTCCTATGGTGGGCTTGTGTCCCATGCCACCAACAGCATCAGTCTAAGTGTGGCCACCTGGGGTGTGGCCTCTGCCGGAGCTGTAGCCATGCCTCTGGGTGCCAGAAACTGGCTGCTGCATCTTGCCCCCCTTGCCGCTGCACCAGAATACATTCCTGGTTCCTCTGTTGTGGACAGTTCTCCAAACCAAGACATAGCACAGAAGGCTCTTGGGGAAAACATCAAAGCTTTAGTGGGCTCCCCAAAGCTACAGGGAAAACACTCCAGATTGAAAAAGGAGCTGGAGACTATGCTATGAGAGAGACAATACACATAGGGAAATTATCTGCCATTATTAGCTGGGCCAGCATCAGACTTCAGAGTAGTAAGGTTCTGAATTGAATTGCTAGTTTCAAACCTGAGCTTGTAACTACCACAGCAATTAGGAAGTGTTTTTCAGCAACCTGTATCAATATGAAAAGAGGGCCCATGGTTCCAGTCATTTCAAATGGGTTTGTCCTAGGTTTAAGCTTGGCTCTGGATCTAGAAGGGTGCTCAGGAAGGTAGGCATGTTTAGCTAGATGGCACTGTTTTGACTGATTTGGCCTGTAAAGCATATACTATTTTTCAAAGTTCCCACCCAGCCCACCTCACTTTCAGCAATTTTAGCTTCCCAGGAAGCAGTAAGATTACTTTCACACATTCCATTTCTTTATTCTGTAATGTTTAATTTGTGTAAAGCTAGAATCAAAGATAATTCATTTTTGGTCAAGATTAAATGAGCAGAGTAATCAGCCAATATTTCAGTTTACTGAAATTGCACTCCCTGATCAGGCAGTAGGCACTGAGAGTTAAGAACAAATGTGTTTCTTCTGAATGACTATTGTGATCTTGGTGTATTACTCTGGTAAGGAAAAATAAATAAATATTGTGTCTTGTTCTAACAATGAATGGTAGCTTTTGCTCAATTGTTCAAAACAATTTAAAAAAAAGCCACCAGTAGCAAGACTGATAACATGCACATGTATTAACTAAAAATCAAATTATTTGATGGCCCCAATTCTGTTTTACATGTTTTATAAAAAGTGTATATTTTATCTTGTTTTAAACCAGGGATGGACAACTTACCCTCCAGATGTTTTGGCCTACCTATTGCCCACCTCTGTTTTAAATAGTAAAAACATGTGAAAAAGATCTATCTTTCTTGCAATGAGGGGAAAAAAGCAGCTATACATGGCAAATGGGCCACACAACAGGTCAAGTTTTTACTACTCATTTAGCTAAAATCCCAAATCAACTTTCCATCATCTTTCTGCAATTAATCCCTCCCAACATAAGGGAAAATGCTTTGAGATTGAGATAGCAAAGCAGCTATCTCTCAAGGTAGAAACTTAGAAACAAAGCAAGTCAGAAGGGGCCTCCTGGGCCATCTAGTCTGACTCCCAGCTCCAACCAGCTCCACTCATATAATTCCCAACCATAATTGTTCATGCTGTCTGTCCATTAAGAACTGTACAAGAAATGACCAATTTAGAACTACAAATAGGGCAAGCTGTGGTTCACGATCTTGGAAATGTTTTTTATTTGATTTGTTTTAAAGCCACCAGTGAGCATCATGGAATCCCTTTCTCTTTAAGAGTGAAATGCACATTACTGGCTAACACACAGCTGTTGCTTTGCTGCCACAAAGTGGTGCTAGGAATCATCTGCAGGGGAGAAACAGCTATTAAGAAGAGGTGTGTACAACCTGGCAGATAACTGGCTTGAGCAAATGCAGTAAGGAGTAAATTACAGGAACAAATGCCCTAAAGGTCCCTTGCCAGTTTTGATCTGGTAAAAATTCCTTCCAGACTTCAATTAGAGCAGTTGGATCTTTTCTTTCTGCAAAACCCCTATGAGTAAAAGAAAAAAGGCCAAAATAAAGAGGCATATCTCAGGCAATTGTCCTAGTAATAAAACATTTACTAGAAGAGAAAGTGGAAAGTAAAGGGAATGGTATGTCACAGAATCCTGACACAACTTCATATATTTCTTAATAAAAATGAGAAGCAGTAACAGAACTATTTTCAGCAAACAAGATTTTTCTACCATTCTGGCAAAAAGAGAAAGAAATCAATTAAAAAGCCCAAGAATACACAGTTAAAAAAACAGCAAACTATTTTTTTACATTTGCTTCTTCTTTCCAGAAGTGTATGCAATAGGCACACTGTTTTACACAGGTCCCACTTTTAGCATCTCTGCACACACATGCTTTTTAAGCAGCCAGTCCCAAACCTCTATGTTTGAAACCTTCCTAAGTCATCCTCCAAAATCACAGTAACTTGATAAGATATATGAATGGTATCCCTCCCCAAACCTGTTTTACACCTGTTTTGGAGGAGGAAATAATTAACTTATGGAACATTCACAAAGCAATCTACACAAAACCCCACCTAAATGGATGCTGTTGAGAGAATTAATGTTCATCTTACTTGCTTCTTAGGGAATTCCGTGGGGTGACTATTCCCATGGCTGCATGGGCTGTCCTTCTATCCTCTTTAGGCTTAATGTGGCTCTTATTGTCCATTCTTACATCTGGGACCAACTTGAGCAGAAACTGGATCATCCCTGGAGATGGAGAGGATTTGCTCAAAGCAAACTGAGGCTCTGCTGTTCTCTGCCGAGCAGTTTTCCCACTGCATTTAAGTCTTTGCTCCCTCAAGAAAGCATTGAGGACACAGGAGATGGCATGTTATGTAAAAATGTAAATTGGCATGAGGAATAGTGCCCCATGCTGTCCACATATGTTGATACACTGAGATAATGAGTCTTTATGTTCCAGCCAAGGTCCTCATCACAGCTGAATTACATATGGAGGGAAAAGTAATAAATCTGCAGACCACACTGCTTACGTATTTGCTGTCATCTCCCTCCCTCTACTAGAAACAGAATTTTAATTTCTCTCTGTGAACTGCTAGTCTGCCAACAATGGCAAGTGGGTAGGAGGGAGTGATCTAAACTTTTGCTTCTCTTTTCCACCTTAACTGTGGACAACTGTTTTAAAAAAGAGGAATCAAACCAGAACACCTGCTCACAAATGCGACAGTAAGAGTGCTGTTCTATCAGGAAAAAACCGCAAAGGGCTTACTTGAACTATCATAAGCCACAACAAAAAATTAAGTTTTCCATGCAAGGCCCAAGATTCTACATTAGATGGGCTAGTGCAGTTGTGAGCTGCCCTCTGTCCCAGGAACCATCACTCCTCACATTTCTTGCTTGCAATAGCTATCAGCACCCCAGCCCTGACTGACATATTCTGTTATGTCACTGTGCATGTCACAGTTGTTGGGCACATGTGAAATAATATAAACAGGAACTTGGGAACCAGGCCTGGGACTGATGGCCACTATGGCCAGCAATGAAAGGTACAGAAGAACAGTTGTGATAGGGATGAAAAGAGAGAGGCTTTTAAGAAAGAGAATAGCTTAGTTCAAGTCCACACTGATTGGAACCTAACAACCCTACCCAGTCCGAGCCCCTTTCTGGACACATTCAACTAAAAAAGAAACACACAAAAAGGTTTTGTTCTTGCTAAGGAGGATCAGTCTTTTGGAGTCTCTCAGGTGGACGGATTTTTAGAAGGCAGATCATCGAGAAATTCTGTAAAAGGGAACACTTTCCTTTTGACCAAAACACAACACTGACATGCCAGTAAAGTGAAGTTATCAGCAGATGCACCAGGCAAGACTCCGTTGGGGAAGACTGCTGTCCATGGTTATCTTTCTCAATAGCCACATACTGGCAAAGAGACCCCCTCCCCCACCTTAGAGACAGAGAGAGACAGAAATAGGAGAGAGAGAGAGGGGGGGGGTGAGGCACCTTGCCACTTTTGTGGGGAGCCTAGGCTCTTAACTGTCCCATCGACTCTTCTTGCGCTTTGGGGGTTCAGGAACTGCAAAACCATCTGTTTTGCCATTGCCATCTTTCTTGCCTTCATTTCTATTCTCACTATTTCTGCTTTCACTGCTGTTCCGGCTGTCTCCATTATTTCGGCTGTCATTGTGGCGACTGTTACTGCTGCTGCTCCCACCACCACCACCAGAATGTCGGCTTTCACTGTGACGATGACTGTCCCCATGGCGGTTGTCCCCATGGCGATAGCCCTCTCCATGGCGCTGACCGTCACTGTGGCGACTGCTGCCATCTCCATGGCGCTGGCCATCACTGTGGCGACTACTACCCCGGTTTTCACTGTAGCGTTCTCTGCCACCACTGTTGCCTTCTCTGCTACTATTACTGGCATTCACACTGTTGTATCCCTGAATTCCAGGGCTTGGGAAGCTGGGGACGCTGTTTAAATTTCCAGAACTCGTAAAACCTGGGATGCCTTTAGGTACACCTGTGGTGCTTATGGGACTGTCAGGTTTTGCAGAGTTCTGCTGTGCTGAACCTGTTGGCACAGAATTCAGACTTCCAGCACTAGTCCATCCACTGGCAGTGGCTGAAGAACTGCCTGTCTTCTGGTTGCTAAAGCTGGCAGCAACAAAATGGCTCTTATACTGGGACTGCAAGAGAAAAAAAAGAAAAGTCCTAAACCATAGACTGATTCACCTTCAAAAGGATTTCCAAACAACAATTACCTCTTTTTCTACTTTCCCACTGTCAAGAGTATCAGACTCTAGGAGCTAGATGAAAGGAGCTTTAGACCAGCTGGTTTTACTTATTGCTCAGAGATTCTTTCTTAAGGGCTACCTGGTTGTCATTTTTATATGGGGAAAGGGATTTCCTGTCAGACTAGCAGAAGCATAAAAGACTTCTTTTGGTCCCTATTTCTTGATGTTCAGACCAGCTTACTTACTGCAGCTATCAGGCTAGTTTTACTGAACTAACTCTTGCCTGCAAGGTTCTCTGGCACTACAATTCCCTTCTGTCCTTTGCACATCTCTGGGTACAGTGGAAGGCTAACTTGCAATGGGCTAAGGAGCAAATTGATGCTAAATGAGGAATTGAAGCTGAGGGCCCACCCTTGGCCAAACAGTCACCATTCTGAAGAAAACCTACTGGCAGCTAACAGCTTATTTCCCTCTAAGTTGACTTAATATGATCATGATGGGCTAAGAAATAGAATGGGGATGGGAGAGGGAGGGGATGCATCACCTCCTCAAGTGCTTCTCTCCAGTTATGATCACAGTAAGGTGTACTTGGGAGAATCTCATCTTAAGGGGGGGGGAGGTAGAAAAATATTTGGGCAGGACAAACCTAAGCCCACCTTTTCACACCTTCTGCACCTCCAGTGCTATGTTTGATGTGGATTGTTCTGATGTAACTGGGAATAAATACAGAGGTCTGAATTTCATGCATACTGTGGCCATACTGGGCTAGCAATATCAGAAGAAATGTAGCTGTATCACAGATGCCCAGAAGGCAGTTTGTCATACCAACCTGGAATGCTGCCTTCATTGCAGACAACCTGTCTCCCATTGCTCCCGAAGATGGTTTATATGCCTCATAGTTGATCATGACGTTGTTGCTCCCACGGTCCTGTGACAAAAGCAATCTGGCAGTAAGCAATGTTCAGTTTAAGCTGCCATCCTATACAAAACTATCTGGGAATAAGTCTCACTGACACCAAGGAGGCTTACTTCTGAGTAGAAGTGTATAGGATCAAACTGATGAGCATATGTTAGGTCGGTGCCTTTTAATACTTACTGCACTCTCTGATCCTAGGCCAGGGCGTTCACGGTAACCCAAGCCACCACCACCAATGTTTAGTTTCTTGCCCTTTCCTCCCTTGAAGCGTGATTTTCGGAACCAAGCATTCTGCAAGAAAGAGAGATGGAGTTCATAGTAATATGATAACAAGCACTGCCTGCAATATGTAAATATTCACTTGTGGCTTCTCTAAACTACAGCATTTTGGCAATGCAAACAATGCCAAAAAATTAAGTGCACAAATAGGGAAGAATAGAAGTTATCATAATCCTGTACCAGTTACAAAAGAATTGGAGGGAAGGGAAAATCTCATGCATTTCTGGGAAAAAAGGTAGCTCCCTTGTTTTTAAGATGCTTGTTTGCATAAGCCTCTGGGCTGTCAAAATCAGTCCAAAATCTTTGCCACAAACAGCTGTTTATCCTTTATACAGGTCTGTTAGTCAGCAAAGGGCTTTTTACACTCTACATATCCATGAAAGTGGTTCATTATTATTTCCATTTTAAAGATGAGGAAAGCAACTGAACAAGAACACCTTGTCCAAGACAGAAATAAAACTGGAACCCAGATCTCTCAGATTCAAATGGAACTGTTTGCTGGACAATACTGTCTAATGCCCAGGACCTCTTCCTAGATCCCTCACTAGCTCAAGCAGGGGAAAGAATGCAGTGAAAACAGCAACAAACCTATTTTAAATGGCAAGTCTAAAAATTTGGAAAAAGTATATTCCATATTTTTTGAGGTGGCTCATGGTCCAAACAACACATAAATATCCACCATGCATGTTTCAGGCAGAGAGAAAGATGCCAGGATTTTTTAGCATTTGCCAGTTACCTGCATGGCTAAGTCCATGAGTTCTTTTGTGACGTGCTGGTTGGCCCCTTCTAAGTTCCGAACAAGATCTCCAGCAAAGTTGCTATCCTTGTGAGTCAGCAAAGTGTAGGCCACACCCTTCTCCCCCGCTCTTCCAGTACGACCAATTCTGTGGGTGTGGGTGTCAATATCACGGGCCACGTCATAATTGATTACAGTCTTAATGGAAGGGATATCCAGACCACGAGCTGGGCAAAGAACATTATGAGTTATGTGTGGGGGGATCAAGACAGGTTCGCCACCATTTCCATACACTCTAAGTAATCTTTCAAACATTCTACTTTATCATCCATTTCGACCCAGTGTGGTATGCACAAATTACTCTTTTCCATCACCTTCAATTTTAGAAAAGCTCCAGTTAACATTTGAAAGTAATCATGTATGACAACAATTGCTCTGTTCTTCCATTATACTGTGACTCCAAAGAGACAACTGTTCTTGGCTCTGCTGGAAACATGTTTGGCTGCACTGAGCTAAGTTATGCTAAAAAGGATTTTAGCCCATTTTAAGGGGTGGGAGGAAACAGGATGGAAATGTTAAATGGATATTTAGAATAAAACAAGTGAGATAGCAGAGTGGGGCATGGTATTGGTCATATTTGTTGCATACAGAGCAAAATATGAGGTATTACAAATTGGAGAAAGGGTGGATACAAATGTGATCAACAAATGATACAAATTCATTTCTAATATGTTTAACTGTTATAATTGTTACCAGTGCCGCCCAGAAAAAAATTAATATGAATTACGAGAAACCACCAACAACAACTTTTGTGTTCCCTCACATATCGGCACTTATGAAAATTCTTTGGAAGTCCCCCACAATTATACTGCTTAGCCATTTAAACCAATTTAAATTATGGATGTATCATTTAGTTAATGAAGTGATTAAGTGAACAGAAAAAAATAAATACCTAAAAAGGTACACCTGATTAAGCAGGCAGCAATTTTTCAAAAAAAGATGAATGATTTTGACTGAAAAACAAAACAAAACAAAACACAAAAGGAGACACTATTTATGCTCTTTCCACTCTTGAGCATGCCAGTAGGCTTCTTGCAGTGCATTGCACTAGAAGATGCAAGGTAAATGTATGAGTTACTGACTATAGCAAACAAACTTGAAGGTCTATCAGAGTCTTTTTACAAACTGTTAGCAGAAGGACACCTTTGAATCCAAGCCATAGTTTTCAATATAAGTAATTATAAAATTGCTGGTAGAAAGCACCATCTTTAAGGAGGCATTTCCCCTTCTGTCTTATTTCACACAGGAAGACAAGCCTTCTCTAATATTTTTTGTTATGACAAAAACATCCTTTTAAAGCAGTTTTCTCTGATCATACTCGCTAGGAGAACTGAATGTTGCAGGAGGGCACCAGGTTGACAAAGGCTATCTTAAAGCAAAGAGAACAAGCTTTTAAAAAGCCAAATAGCTAACTGGATTGTGTACTGATAAATTAACTAAGATTTCATTAATTAGGCAACTGCCCCAATTCCATTATGTAGTGCAACTGATCCTAGCTTTAGCCTGCATGAGGAATACAGCATCTCTATATTACAATAGATATCAAGAGTAACAATGAGAGTATGAAAACTGGCCTAAGAGAGAGGGCAGCTTACAGAAAAGAAGTAAAGTCTCTCGTGCTTTAAGAAATGACTCCTAGACAGTGAAAAATTGGCCTTGCAACCCTACCTGCCACATCAGTAGCAACTAGAACTGGGAAGGTCCCCTTCTTGAAATCTGAAATGACCTTGTTTCTTTCACTTTGATCCATGTCACCATGTAGCAGCCCCAGGTCGTGCCCTTCCTGTTTCAGGTTATTAGCCAGTTCCTCTGCATTTGCCTTCTTGGTGACAAAAAGGAGGACACTGCCTGAAGAGGTGAATTCAACTAGGCGACCAGTCACCCAGTTCCACTTGTTGGGACCAGAAGAGAAGATCTCCACAATTTGAGTGATATCTTCATTTGCCTGTTGTGGGGTGAGAAGGTGAAATTAGGCAAAATTGGAACATCAGAACCTGGCAATTATTAAGCAAATGTTTTAATACAAGAGCAGAAAAGAAAACCATAATACATTTCAAACATTTATTTTTATTTTTTTTAAGACAGGGAATTTCCAATATTACCTCTCCAATGTCGCCCTGCACCACTCGAATTGGGTCAATCAGAATGTCTCTGGCCAGTTTCTCAATCTTCTTCCGAAAAGTTGCACTGAACAGTAGAGCTATTAAGCCGGGAAAGCAATCCTTAGTTTATGTATGCACAAAGGGATACTGGAATGCAAGCTCAGAAGGAAGCAACACAATACACTATGCTCCAGAAGCAGTCCCTAGTATTTAGACATAGAAGAACTGCCTGCAATGCCTAACAGTGCTGGATACTCTACATGTGTTCAGAGGTGTTATCTTATTCAATCAGAATGCCCTTACAAAAAATCTGCTGGTTAATGCATGACACAGTCTAAAGCTGGGCAATGACTTCTGAAATACTCTGCAATGTGGCTTACTTGGAAGTCCTGATTCAAATTAAACAGAAAAGTTGCTTGTTTCTGACTGAGCCATATGTTTATCAAATAAAGCTTTCTCTGAAGGAATCACCCTGTGTAACAGCTACATTCTTTTCTAGATTCCTTTCTATCTCAGAAGGGATTCTGGGGCTGAGTAGCCTGTCTATGACCAGCTTCATAGCAGTAGGCAGCCATCACCAACCCCAGGCTGTTGCAGTTCAAAGAAGCTGCTGGCTCCCCACCTGCCAAACAGCAGAGAAACTGGCCAAGATAATGGAATGCACAGGAAGATGACAGGGCTGTGGCTTGTTATGCTCGAACACTACCTTTATATCAAGGGTAGCTTTTCAGATGTTTGGCCTACAACTATCATGCCTCACAACTGGCTAGGATTGATGGGAATTTAGGTCAACAACATGAGGAAGGCAACAAGTCATCCACTTGTGCTCTAATGAACAAGGCTTTGCTCAGTAATGCCTGGGAAAGGTAGTACTGGGGGGTTGGGAAGAAAAGTTGCAGGGTGTCCTTATTTAAATTGAAAAATGTGCAAAGGCATTTAATATGCAACTTGATTTTTTTCCAGACATAAATCTAAGTTTATCACAAACATTTTCTGGAACTCTAGCTTCCACATAATTAGAATTATAAAGCACTCATTCCATCTTGCATAAGATGTATTTCTAAAAATCTCATTAAGGAAGTCCAAACTCACTCTGCCTCTCTGGACGTACATGGCTGGCAATCGATCGGACTTGGTATTCTGAATGAAGAGGGAAAAATATTCCAGTGAAAGCCCTATTTGTGATAGCATATGCTGAAAAGCAATCCCACAGAAATGTCTCAACACCCAGATGGATAAGCAGAGTATATCATACAAATGAAATGTGTTGGATCACTGTATTCCAGGATGAACCTTTTAATTTTGTTAAATGCAGAATCGCCAAAAGCTCAATGGCAGTACTTCTGGAATGCAATGTTGAAATATTTGACTCTTAGGGCTCAGGGTACTCTTTAAAAAGGAAGCATGCACAAGTTTAAAAATAACTAATAGATTATGCAGTTCAGAAGACCTGAATTAGCTTTTATTCTAGAGAAAAAGGCTGGCACCACAGAAAAAAAGCACTGAGAATAATGGCAAGCACCATGAAAGCCACATAGATTCTCACAGCTCAATTCTCCATATTTTAAGTTCATTGAAACTTAAAATAGGATTTTCTTTCAATTCATATTCAACGCTATCATGTGCTTAATGCTGGGAAAATGCTACAATGTATTTTTGAGCAGCCAGAACCACAGACAATTGCAGCCAACAATGCTCAATTGAAATAATGTATCAAAAGTGGCTTAGCAGTACATACAGGAACAGAAGGAGTCAGATGGGAAGCTTTGGGCTCATGTGCTCTCCCCTCCCCTCCCTGTCCTCATCTGTTTGACCAGGAGAAAAAAATAAACCAGAAATCAGTTTCACTTTGATACCCCTACCTTCTTGCTATATGCAAACCAGAAATCTTAAGTTTAACAACTCCAGTTTCTTTTGCTGACTTATTTAACAAACAAAAGTTGATTTCAAACCACAATTCTTGGCTTGCATGTAACAATAAGCCAGAAATCTGATAAAGTGAAATTGAATTCCAGCTTATTCCTTTTGGTCAGTGTTGGTGAGACATGTAGATTATCTGTAGTTTGTTGTGAATTCTGGTTTGCTAAAATGTGGGTTCTCATATCTTCATCTAGAACGGTGGGTTCCTTATGGATTGTTTTGTCATTCTTGCCAGGCAAGAATGATACAAACATTTGGCTACTCTATATGCCAATACTGCAAAGCAGTGTGCAACAAAGAAGGGAAAAAACTTAGGAACGGAAAAGCAACCTACAGTTTGTTAAATCATCTATCCGAAAAATCCTAGGTAAGGCAGGATTACATAAATCATGGATTAGCATTATGTGCAAAACAATATGCATTTTTCGGGCAATTTTGACTCTCATTTATTACTTTCATGAGGAATATTTTATACTTCACAGGTGGCACAGGTGGAAAATAATTAAATGAAAATGGTCTTTTGTTTACAAGCGTATTATAGTCATAACTGAACTTTAGAAGCAAATAATGTATCAACTTTAAAATCAGTAATCAATATGCAGTCCACACAAACCTATATACATACACCATTCTCCTTTGCCTCCTTCTCAGCATAGCCAAAATATGGACGTTGCAAATTCCTGAGGAAAGGCCAATTTTTTTCTGGCACCATCCTGCCTGCCTACTTCAGCATGAGCAAATGACACTGTTGCAGGGTTGGGTGCACCATGTCACCTCCAATGCTGTTGCCACCATGAATCGTGCTATACTTCATACAAAGGGCATTAAACAAATTAGAGAAAACTAAGCATGAAAAAATCTCTTTCTGGCCAAAAAATGCTTGCTTGAACAAGAGAGTATTTTGGAAGATATTTCTGCCCAGGCTTCTGAAGAAAGTGAAGTTCCTATGGTTGGGAGTGGTCACCAAAATCTATCTTTGTATATCCTTTCGCAGTGCCATATGGAGCACTAGCACTAGCACTTAGAAGTCCTTCTCAGCTAACCACAGAGATCATGACAGGACACATACCACAACGTCATGCTAGTATTAACAGTCGAAACAGACATGTTTGCATTTTCTAAATTTTCACTACACTTCACTGAGTCAAACCAATTTTCATCCCTACATGTCATACTCCCAAATGCAAAAGCTTTCATTTTGCACAACCACATTTATTTATTTAAAACTTTTATATACCGTCCACTACCAAGGTCTTTGGATGGTCTTACAATAAGACAGAAAGGAGCAGAACATTCAAGTTGATTTTTTATACAATAAAAGCCCACATTAAAATAACAATCAAATCTTAAAATAATGGGAAAATAAAAAGGTTTTGGCATAGTGTTGAAAGGAATAAAGTGTTGGTGCCAGACGAAGCTCTCTGGGGGCATATTCCATAGCCGGGGCGCCACCACAGAGAAGGCCCTTCTCCAGGTAGCCATCCTCCTAATCTTCTTCAAGGAGGGCTCCTGAAGACAGACCTCTGCCCCAGATCTTAAGGGGTGGGTAGGCACAGAGGTAATATTACCTATTATTATAATTATATAATTATTATAATATTATAGATAATATTACCTAATATTCTAGTAGCTAAAATATCTTTTATTTTACCTTAAGACTGCAGTAAATCATGGCTGAGTACACAGCTAAGAAAGGCATCCATCTTTACATATTTACTCTAATGGACTCTTAAGGCAGATGACAAACCTTAAAGAAAAATGTGAAACTGGGGAATCAGCACCACCATTATGAAACATCCATACATTTAATATAACTAGGTACATACCAAAACCCATGTCAAACATCCTGTCAGCTTCATCAAACACAAGGTAAGTGACTCTTTGAAGGTTGGTTGCTTTCTTCTTCACATGATCAATCAAGCGGCCCTGATTAGAAATATTTAATATAGCATTGACCTTGTTAGCAAAGCCAAGATCATCTTCATTCATGGTACCTGTCACTGTAATTTAAAGGGCATTATGGTTATTTCTGGAAAAGTCTCACAGGTTCCCTGTGACTATTCATGTTCATTTCTGAGAAGAAGTCAAAGGATTCTTTCCTCAGAGTCCTGTGATAAGGAAGACATGCAATACTAACTGGCCAGAAGAGCCAGGAAGTTACAGAAAAGAAAAGCTGGAACCAGAAAGTTGGACCAGTTGTCGGGTTTCCAGTATATTTGAGCCCAAGTGTTGATGCTGCCTTTAAAAAGGCTTAAAGGGCTTGAAACTAGAATATTGAAAGGAACATATTTTTCCTGTATGTAGTAGCTTGAACCTTTAGGTCATCTTTGGAGGTGCTCCTCTAGACATCCCTGAAGAAAGTCAGGTCACTGGCAGTAAGAGACAGCACCTTCTAAAATGAAGATCTAGCGAATGCCCTCCTCCTGGAGACTGAGCTAACACCTACACTGTTATCCTCTGGGTGACAAGTGCAGACCTTTAGTGTTTCCCAAGAATTTTTTTTAGAATTTTAACAGCTGTTTTTATATATCCTTATAGTTATCTGCAATGCATTTTATTCTTTTAACTATTTGCAGTCAGCCCAGAGAGCATGGTAGCGAAATACTCACTGGAGTGCAGACAACGATCTCCGCCCCTTCTTGTAGAGCCTTGGCCTGCTCCCACATGCTTCCTCCACCGTACACGGCTACAGAGCGCAGGTTGTAGGCCTTCCCAAAGCGCTTGCATTCAGCATGAATCTAAAAGTACATTTGTTCACAGAATATGGGCAATACAGTGATCCAGAAAACAAAAATAAGTTTCCCTCATCTTGAAGAAATGAAAGTTGGGTAGAAGAGTGGTTTTTGTATTTAACCCTTCTTCCTAGTGACAGCTTTGTCTTGTACATTCTCTGTAGCTACCTATCTTTACACCTGCTCTTCATATCTAGAGCACACAAGGCTTCTCTTTGCTCATCTCTCTCTACTTCTACCTATTCTGAAATGAAAATGGCAGAACTTCAGTTTTCCAGTGATTAAGTGTTCAGGATAGATTGCTAGCACCCCTTTTAATGGTAAATACACTGTGCCAAGGCATGCTGAAGAAATATTATTTTGGCTGTAAGTGGAACCTCCCATAAAAAGTTAACAATCCCATTTGCAGTAGAAACCTTCTTCACCAAATAACCAAAGAACCTGACAGCCTTATGACTGTTCCCACAGTCTGCTGCAGTAGGAAGACAGGCTGACTTGTTGGAACCACTAAAAATAATTTCTAAGGCCTAAGGTTCAGTAGAAATTGTGAATACAGGGTCCCACCCCCTCTCTCTATCTATGCTAAGTGATCTTTGTGCCTCATAAGCCCTCTGACAATACATGCTGCAACACGAGTCTCCAAAGTTTAAGAAAGCCACATACTTGAAGACTTGCATACAGAACCACAGCACCATCCCATCTTATCACACCTTCTTAGAGACAATCATAGGCACTCTGAGCAGTGTAGCAAGTTGGAACAGCATGCTCCCACACAGAGGTGAACTTTGTGACATGATTCTGGGACTCCCTTCTTCTGGAGACTTACCAAGTAGCTTGCACTGGCTTTCTGATCCATTTATGCCAGTGGGATTTTTCATACATTTTAACTGAACCATTTAACTGGCTTGTTCATGATAAAATAAGCCATGGGTTATCCTGGGCGAAACTCATGAACAACCTTAAGTGTCCTTGTTCAGGCATCACACAAACAACCCATGAATGTCACGTAGAAGGGCTGCTAATGCAAACAGGAAGCCACTTTGGACACATTGTGTCTCTGAGAAATGTTGGCTAATTCACCCATGATCTGCAACCAGAAGCCACTGTGACATCCAAACAGTGTCTGAGGGGTTAAATAAAGGACAGCATAGAGCATGACCTCTTCAGCTGAAAACTCCGTTCCGGGCTAGCATTTACTCTCCTCATTTGTGTTCATTAAGCTCCAAACTTGTCTACCTGCTGGCACAGCTCTCTGGTTGGACAGACGATCACAGCAATAGGACCATCTCCTGGTTCTAGCTCCTTCTGATCCATGATATGAACCAACATAGGCCAAATGAACGCTGCAGTTTTCCCACTGCCAGTCTTTGCAATGCCAATCATATCTCTGCCACTCAGTGCCACTGGGACACCCTAAAGGAAAAGAAGAAACACAGTGCATATTTTAAGCTCAACTATTTTCCAAAAGACAAAGCAGACAAGCTCAGCACAAATAATGAATCTGAAAATATTAAAAGAGCATAACAGTCAATTACTGAAAAAGTCTTATTTAAGCATGAAACATATCTGCAAACACTACCTGGTTAGCATCCCATATGAGACTGCCATAATTTAAAATGTGCGCTTTTTCAATCACTATTCTGGAAAGGAAAATTTGAAACACAAAAATGTAAACCAAGATAACCATGCTCACTAGTGCATACTGTTTATACTTGTTAGGATAAAATGGATATCCCAATTTTAAGTAAGAAATTGCAGTGTATTGTACTATTTGATTTATGTGGTAGTGATTCTATTGGTAAGGAATTCTACAGCAGAATGTGTGTGCAGTGACAGAAAATTCTCTAGAGCTTATTTTTCCATTTAAAAAAATCCTTTTTCTCATTAATAGTAATGAACAAGTGCCAATCACAAATACAAAATTAAGTTTGCCAGTTTCAAGGTTGTGATTAATATTTTTCCCCTGAAAAATATTCATCTCAGTATGAAAGTGAAGAGGTAGTGACAGCAAAAGATGTTAACAACCTTAGCAGAGGAGAACGGAACTCTGTTGAAACAGATGAGTAGTTGTTATCATATGATGCGCAGTTTTGTGGGTTCCTAAAATTTATCCAATGGCTTCCACTTTTGACATATATAAGACACTAAACATCCAAGTGCATCTGAAATCCTCAGCACCCTGTGCCCTGCATTCATTTTTTGATGTCATTTTTGAATGTATAAATGAAGCGCTAAATAGATGATGGAAAGGGGGTTATCATTTGTATATTATGTAAACTGTCATCACTAACTGCACCCCAGCCATCCCTTTAGCTCTCTGTGATGTTGATTACCAACCTGAGAAACACTAAGAGAAGTTCCTTCTATATATACCAGCTCTGAGAGGGGTGGGGACTTCAAGTTCAGGGTCTCAGGTCTGAGGTCGCAGGACCTAGAAGCTGGACTCTGAATAATTCTACAGGCAACCTTCGGAGTTCACAGTAGGACACTTAGTATTTCAGCAGTTGTCAGTATTTTTCTTCCCAGGTTTTCTTATGTTTAAAAGACTGAAGGGAAGCACATGCTATTTTATTTATTTATTTTACAGTATCCCAAAAATATGTCTACATAGTATAACATTTAGATCACATTGAGTGTGCTTTAAACTTCCTCCAACAATATTTCAGATCAAACCCTTTAGTGTACTTATTCAAACAATTAACATAGGGTAATTTTAAAGTTTTGTTTACTGATACAAGTACCACAAGCAAATAAAATGAAATCACTCTATGGTAGCAGAAAATTTTCCTATAAAAATTTCCATTATTAAACATTTTCCAGAAAACTCACATTAGAAATCAAAAGAAACTGCTTAAGATATTTGGATGTTTATTATAAAGAAGGAAATATTAAATTATCTTAGGCTGACATGTTTTGTTTATCCCTCTATATTTAAATTCATCAATTTGCTAATCAAATTAGAAACAAATAAAAGTATGACATTTAGACAGTTTATACCTGGCTCTGAAAGCAGATGAGAAACAGATCAGTAGATACTTAGATTTCTACCAAGGCTGGAATGCAAGACTCACCTGGCATTGGATAGGGGTGGGTTGAGTATACTCAGATTTCCTTATTTGGTGCATTAACTGCTCATCAAAACCAAAATGAGCAAAACTACTTCCTGGCCTTGGGGGAGCAGCACCAGAGACCTAAGAGAAAATATTAAGAAGAGTAATTTTTTAATGCAAATACCGACATGGAGACTATTTGAGAAGGAAGCCAAACATTATCCAGTCCCTACCCTTGCTGTTGCTTTATGCATTAAATACAACCCACAGTTATTGCCCAATCGCTACAGATTAACCTTCATCATGTTGAACCCAATGTTCCTTTCAATGCTCAGCTGTGGCAGAGGCACCTGAACCATGCAGGGAATGTCCATGTCATCAGAAATTCTATATTGGAATAGCAAGGAAGGCACTGAAAAGCATGCTCCCAAGAGAACCTAGAAGCACTAGAGCTTCCACAAATGGACCTTAGCACAGGAAACCTCTGCATATGTGTTAGCTCTTTTCATATACAACTAGGACAACTCGTGGTCAGCATTTACACAGAAAATGAAACCTCCACAACTAATGGTCAGTATAGTGAAGGAAGGAATTGAGAGTCTGAGAGAGGGCCAAAAGCCCCCCCTCCCCCAAAATATGCATCCTCTTCAACAAGGTAGGCTAAAAAAGAGGTATAATGGGAGCCAACATGTACTGAATATGAACTGGGTAACCAACTGCCAAAACCAAGTAACAGTTTATTTGCTGACTGTCATCATGCTTTTCCCCATGCCTCATTTTTTCCTACAATACTTCCCTGAATACCCAAACAGCAAACCTTCCTCTCTGTCCAGCCACATTGTCCTTCAAAACCTTCTTTAAGGTGCACTTTTGGAAAGTGCTATCTCTGCCAATGCAGTGTCAGCATCCCCATTACTATTTAACTCTCCTTTACATCATTGTCCTCAAAACCCAGCACACATGGCTTTTCCCCTCACTCTTCATCTTACAGGGTTCATAAGTTCAATGAGCAGGAAGTATATTCCTAAACTTTACCCATTTAGTGCCTAGTGTTGAACAAGAGACAACCCCCAAAGTAGGACTCTTGCCTTCATCTTACCCGGAGATTTAGCTTATGGCGTAGCTCCACCACTTGTTGCGGTGTAAGACTGGTGATTTCTTCATGCTCATCATAGAAGTTCTTCTCAAATGGTGGGTATTCAATCTGCAGGTCAATGACTGAAGTTAGTCAGGGATATCACCAAGCCAGTTAAAAACTCACTATCCCCTCTGCCTGAGCTGATGACATGGAATGTTAAAGAACATTCTTGTTTGGTAATTAGATGTGAGCAAGGGACATGACAGATGTGCAGCTTCAGTGAAAGAACTGAAGCAGAAGTTTGGCTGGGAATAAAATATGAACAGCAAATTCCTTTGACATGATGCTACATAAAAGTCATGCACATTTGTTTGGCTGGGCTCACAGCTCCCAGTCTTGGAGGTTTAAATTTAATGGGCAAAGTGAATACCACATCTGATAAGGGTAACTGCTTTCTACTTTAATTTGTTGAACTTCAGCTGCACTTAGTACTGATGCTATACTAGTAATGGAAGGCATTCTCTCACCTCTGAATGATCAATAGGAGGAAGAGGGTCAATTATTTTTTTAGATGGCGCTATTGGATTGCCATCACTGTCATATTCCAGGTTATCTTCCTCCTCTTCAGGAATCACACCGGCATTGGGGTTTTCTGCCATGTAGCGGAAATAAGCTTCCTGCAGCAAAACAGAGAGGTATAACTGCATACAAGTGCCAAGAAAAACAATGCTACTGTAGTTCTCCATTAATAACTAGCCATATTAAGATGGTTGATTAACACCTTACCACAAAGGACAAATAGAATCTATTTGAATAGTGCTCTTATCACAGTAATTATTTGGTGATATTGTAAAAACCTGACAGAATGGTTGATATATCTGGCCCTTCTAACAAAATGCCAATACAACAATCAAGAAACTGAGCAAAGGAATCAGAAGTTCAGGTAATACCACAGAAATATTTTCACCAATACTAAGATAACTGGCTTTCAGTACTTAATCCTTAAAAAAATTGCATGGCTGTTGCAACAACTGTCCTCAAAATCCTTTCTCCTAGCAACAGATGTGCATGTGGGGAAGCAGTGACTGAGGGGATTCAGAAGTGAGAGAAAAGAGTAAATGTGGACATGTTCAAAGAACTTACTGGATTTTGCCTCATGGCCTTAAGCAAAGCTTGTAAGCAGCTTCTTGGTTAGAAGATTCAAGGGAACCAAGCAGGCAAACTTTGCCAAACTGAAAGATAGTAGGTTTTTAGCCTTCCAGTGTGCCACAAGTACTAAAACACTATGTAAGCAGGCAGAGTGGTAACTTCTGTGGACTTACCTGCTGTCACATTTTCTCCTATCAAGTTGCTACTTTATTCCAAAGATTCTTATATACTCAGCACACTATGTAAGCTGTGTGCATTGTAAAGGGGAAATTATTCTTATTTAATGGGAAGTCTGATCAAGAAGCAAGATGCAGTCTGCAAGCAAACATCATCCAAGAAGCAAAAATAATAAGAGCTGAAACTGAATGTTCCCATTATCTTTCAATTCTAAAATGATTCTGTCTGCTGAAGAATTATGCCACATTATCTACTTTGTCACCAATCCAAATGAAAGATAATTCCTAAGAGAGAGTTGGTAAAAGCTAGTTTCTGGGACAGGAATGCTGTGAAACAGCCTTATCCAACCTGGTGTTCTCTAGAAGTTTTGGAGTTCAACTTCCATGATTCCAAGCCAGGTAAGGAATACTAAGAGCTTCAGCCCAAAACATATGGAAGGCACCCAGTTGGGGAAGGTTGATCTAAAATAAAGTTCTTCTAACAATTATGTGTTCCTTGACAGGACAAGATAGTTCTTTTGGAACCATTTTGAAGAATTATTTCAACAAGAAATATTCCATATTCACATAACTGAAGACAGAACAACATTTAAAGAAAACCTTCCTTTTTTAAAAAAGCCAATTTTAATTCACATCCAAAAGAAATTATCTATGTCCTTAAAGATCCTCCAAAAAAATCCCACTAAAGATTTTCAATATGTAAATTTAACTAATTAAAAAGTCACTCTGTCAGCTAGTTTTTAAAAAGTTACTAAGATAGCATTACTGCTAAATTTTTATCATGTTTTCCTCCATGTCATGCTGGTTAGGCTGACAGCATGCAACCAGCAAAGGTCACTCTGAGACGTTCTGACATTCTACACAACACCACACTAGCTCTCAAATGCTGGCATCTTTAGTTCCCTATTTGTGCAAAACTAGAACAATACACTTGACAATTTAGCAAGAAGCTTTAAGTAAAGGGAGGAATTTTAATTTGGTAGAATCATTTTCTCCTGTAACCATGGGGATGGGGTAGGGGAAAAAGTGGACAAAAAAGAATGGGGAAGGAGGACAGTAGGACACAACTCTATCCACAAATGAAAGATACTATATGCATCATTAAAATAAGCCAACTACTCATCTAGTGAGGTTACACACTGTTTCTCAGCTATACCACATGCATATTCGGCATGCTAGGAAGCATGTTACACCCCCAAAGTTAAGATGAAAACTTTCCAGAGCAACAGTGCAGGGCATTTTGAACATAAGAAAAGCCACGCTGGACCAGTCCATCTAGTCCAGCACTCTGTGAACACAGTGGCAATCCAGCTGCCCACAGGATCACTTAAGTAGGTACAAGACCTCCACGTGCCCAAGCTCTTCAGCAATTGGTATAGGCAGGCATGCCACCTCTGGAAAAGGAGGTAACACCCAGCCAGCAAAGCTAGTAGCCACTAACAGAATCCTCCCTCATTGATCTGTCCAATTCCCCTTTAAGGCCATGCAAATTGGTAGCCATCATTACTTCCCATGACAGCAAATTCCATAAGTATAGGTTGTGTGAAGAACTACTTCTTAATCCACCCATCAATAAGCTTCATGGGATTTAAATTCCTTGCTGAAAACATCCCAGAGTGACAGTTTCAATGATACAATAAGCTATGAAAAAGAAAGTTTGTCTAAAACCATATATTGTAGGCATGCTAGAACTGTTTTTCCTAAAATTCTGACAGAGACAGTGAGCCTCCATTGAGAGTGGATAATAATGATGTGTCATTGCATTCCAAGGAATTAAATACTCCAATTATGCCTGATGAAGAAATGGGAATACTCACTCATGCACTGTGGAGGCTTACTAGGAGTTACCAAGGCCAGAGCAGAGATTCATGCAGAACTGCAGATACTTTGGCCACCAAGGATACATTAGCTCTCTTTCATGGCATACTAGCAGTTCTCTTGGAGAACTGCTTGGAGAACTGCTAGTGTGCTACAGCCCAGAGTTGGGGAATTATTGAGCTAGAAGTTCCAGAATTTGGATATAAGTTATTATTTTACCCAAGCTGGTATGGATATTTGACATCACCAGAGTTAAATAATGTGAGACTTGAAGAACCACAAACTGAATCTCTGATGTGACAGAAAAGATGTACAACAAACATTAAGTCAGCTTTACAATGTTTTTTATACTTATTCAGCATTTTTCAAAAGCAGCAGTCTTCAGTCCTTGATAAAATGGTCCTGCATATGGGACTCCCTTTTCTTTTCTACTACTTCTTTTTTACTACTTTTCTTTTGTTCTTGTTTCCCTTTATGCTTCTTTTCCCTTCTCTTCCCTCTTATTTCATATCACTCTCCATGATCCTTTTCCATCTTTCTATTTGACCTTACTTTGGAAAAAAATCAGTAACAAAGCAACCCAACAGCCCCCTGGACAGCTTCTAGGAGGGCACAGGATTCCTTGGATTTCTGGCTGTGAGATTAGGAGACAGCCCCAACCTCAGAGATGGAAATCTGCACTCAGGGTAGTCTCCACTCTCTCACAGCTAGAATGGAAAGAATTGTACCGGCTGCTTCTCCAAGATCACAAAAGAGAAGTGGTTTGGGACAGAGTGCAGACCACAGCAGCCAAAATCTTGGCAATGCCTCAGCCTCTTTCCCTTCTGCTCCAAAGAGCTGTAGTTGGCTGTCTAGAAGTTTTGCAGGGCAAGAGGAGCACATGACACATTGGACCATGACATAATTCTGGGACTCAACTCATTTGCTGGCCCAGTGGTCCAATGTATTTAAACAGGACAGACTCTCTTGCCCACCCCACAAATTCCCATCAGCAAACAGAAACAGTTCCAGTTTCTTTCAAAGGATATCAGAAAAGTGCATTAAAACCCATCGATTACTGATTTGTAAAAGGTAGAAAGATTGCGTAGGAAACTCACTTGATCATCTTCCTCTTCAATATCATCGCGTATACCCCTGGAAAAATAAGCAGAGAAACAAAACTTCCCTGCAAATGTTCTACATACCCAACTCCATACATTCAGCCAGATTAGTGCCAAAATGTAGCTCGACACTGACAACATTCAGCAGCAGCAACAAAAACATATCTCAATTCCAACCCACCAGGACTTGCCAAATTTTGATGACTAAAGATGACTAAATTAATTTCATATCTACCAAGGAGAACAGCTATTCACAGAACCCTACAGTTGAGAAGAGGACAGCGAGGTCATTTTAGCTCCCTGCTGCAAGGCAAAGTCATCCATATACCAGCCCACATAAATAGCCCTCATAATTCAAATCACAGCCTTTAAGAACTTTTAGATAAGCTTAAATATCTCGTATGGCAAAATACTCAAATATTATCCAACAGAAATAATAGGATCCCATGCTTCCACATTCTTATTCCACATTTCAAAGGGGCTGTGATACATGGAAAGACTTACTTTGTATTCTTTCTTTCTTTGTCTTTATCTTCTAGTCTCTTCATGTCTCTAGCAGCCTGATCCTAAATGGTTATAAAACAAGCATAATTTTGCAGTGCTGCACACTTTCCCTGAAGTTCCTATTATACTGAAGCTCATAGTGTTATATCCAAATAGATACAGCAACTATTAATATCACCTGATTTGAGAAAATATGCAATGCAAGCCTTTACATTTCAATACAAAAGTATATTCACTAATGGCAATGGCAGTTCAAGTCCCTAGTTCTCTCTTCACTTGTTGATTGCTCAAATTTAATTACAAATGCATGTAGCAGAGCTTTTGTTGTAGTGGAGTCACTACAATTGAATTTTCATGAAAATGATCCACTTAGATCTCAACTGGTGCTCTTTTTTTGTGGGGGGGGGGGCTATAAAAACCTTTCTAGTCCAAAAAAGTGCTATTTGCTGTTGCTGCTATACTCTGTTCTCAATGCTTATCCCTTAATTTGCTTTTGTTTCCATTGTAAATGATTTTTTAGATTTTATTGGTTTACTGAAAAGAACAATAAAAGATATTCTAAAACAGACTAATTTTTAACATACTCTAAATTTCCTGTCTCTTCTCTTCCCAAGTACTGATTGAAGATGTGATCTATTTTCCTCAAGAGCTGTTTCTAGTGCTCCCAAAAGTTAAATAACCACTCAAACACATAAGAAAATGGTAACTTACCTCCACTTCTGCCATGAATGCCTCCAAAGGGTCATCCTCACTGTCTGAATCAGGTGGTTTAGAATGGAATTGCTGCCGAGTAGGAGAGTTCTCCGCAGGAATGTATGGTAAATCAACATTATTGGAATCTTCCTCCTCATCCTCAAAATAGCTGACAGTTAATTGAGATAGAAAAAGAAAAGTTGACACAGTGAAGAACCAAGATGATATTCAATCAAAATTACAGTAAGGGGAAATTGTTTTACCTCATTGTTATAATCATATAGTACATATTGATTACACAGCATCTTCCAATACTTCCCTCACATACTGAACAGCTTAGGATTTTAAAAATAGAAGAAATCCTTTGTCTGGGCAGCTATGTTGCAGCATAGATATCAGATCCATTACAATATTTCAAAGTGAGGGGAGCAATTCTCCTTGAAACATGGGTGGGTTGAAGTGCCCTGTGCTGGAAAGCACCAAATGGGACCATGCAAAGTCCCAAAAAAATACACATAATCCATCAGGGGTACAAACTCACTAAAATACTTGTTGGGGAAATAGAGAAGAAGGCCAAGAGCAACAAGAAAGCCAGTGGACACATAGTCACTCTCGGAACTTTTGATAAATACACTACCTGAAAGTATGGATCAAGAAAACTTCTGATTTGGTGAACATAAGGGCCTGCTATCTGCAAAAGTCAATAACTAGAACAAGGAAAGCTCCAGAAGTAATCTGCTGAAGCTGGGAAGTGAGGAACCTTTTAGAATACCTAAGTCAAGCAAGCTTGGAATTACAGTGATAACTCATCAACAAACAAAAGGAGCACTAGCCCAATACAGCAAGTGAGAAAACACTCCCTACTCACAATTATTTAAGATTTTTATATACCATTCTCTCAGACCATTGGAAAATTATAATAAATAATTAGAAAATTAGAAAATGTGAAAAGTATATTGCATATAAACAAGTTGGCAATGAGTCCAACACCGACCTGGTTTGCGGGTGACAACAACCCACTAGGAGTGTCATACAAGTAGTGGGCAGAGAGTTCATTGTCTCCCAAATCACCTAACCTTTCTACTTTTACTTCACAACCTATGCTTGGGTCCTTTACAGCCAGTTGGGTGTGATAAATGAGCCTAGCAGTTAACCCATAGTTCATTATTTTTTAGTCCCTAGACAACCAGGGATCAGATGCCATGTTCAACAAACTACCAAGAAGCTGACTGTAGATTGTTCAATTAAAAGTACAAGTGGCAAGCACACTGCAGACTCTTATTATATATCACATGGGTCCTCAAACTACAGCTTGGGGGCCAAATCTGGCCCACCATGCCCATTTATCCAGCCCGCCATGCCCATTTGGGCCCACGCCTACGTGCTCGCCCACCACCGCCCAGGGAGGCAGCGGTTTGCTCACTTGGAGAAAACGATCTCCAAGTGCAAGCCGCTGCCTCACGGCGCGTGTCTGTCCCCACCCACACCTCACCTCCCCTCCCCAGGTGTGCGCCCCCACCCGCACCTCCCCTCCCCAGGTGTGCCCATCCATGTCTCGCCTCACCTTGCCTCACTGCATGCCCTGCCCCCACCTCAGCACACGTGCCCGCCTCAGCGCACCACCCCTACACTGCCAGCACCACCTTTCCAGCCCGCGCCCAGCACCGGTAGCTTTCAACTGGCCCCCTGGTGGAAAAGTTTGAGGACCCCTGGTATAAGCTTATTATATATCCTAAGGTTCTGCTTTACATGTGTCTATTCAGGGGTTTTTTTTAGCTACTTCAATGCATTACAGCAGTTGTAACATATAGCCCATACTTACTAAGTTTATAGTAAGCATAGTCAATGTCTCCAGAAACAGGTTTAATATTAATATAGCATTAGTCTGGCAATCATAAGCTATATCATACAGAACTTTCCGGACTTTTCAAGGTGTAGGCTATTCAAACTCAGTTTGTTACAGGTAGCTGTCAAATTTACTAAAAGTAGCTAGTTTTTGTTTGCTGAATCCATAAAGATTTATATATCTAAGAGTTGCAAACCAAGGAATGTAGCCTTTGGCTGCTCCAGATATTTGCATGATCTGGAGTAGCCAGTAAAGACCTTTCTGCAAAGGACAGTCTAGAAAACGGAATAAGGAAAAATTGAGAAGCTGTTTCGACGCTTCATGTTACAACAGTTTGAAATAAGGCCCTATTGGTTCCACTGATTATAAGTAATGACCATGTCACCAATGGTGCCTTCTTTTCACAAATGGTCTCTTCATCATGTCTGTCTTAGTAAAATAAACCATTACAGAAACTTTGAGAAGTACATCTACTAGGATACATATGCAAAAAGTGGGCAGCTTACGCATTCTCCTCATCAAAGTTTGCTCGCTTTGATCCAATCTTGTAAAAAGAAGGCAACTGAGGTGGTGGTGTCTTCCCAAACCCAGCTGAAGAACCAGGAGCTCCAAAAGCACTATGTGACTGCTGAGGGAGTTTGGGCTCTTCCTTCTTTCCAGTTGATATCGAAAAGCCACCAAAACCAAAGCCCCTCTTGGTGCCGGGACCACCTTTGTTCCAATTCATGGTGTCAGTGATGAGTCTGATAAAGATGAAATGATGTACTAAGTATAAAATTTCTTCCCCATTTTAAGGATAGGCAGGTAGCAAGCCATACAAACAAAGCTTCACAAGTGATAGCATGCAATTAGAAAGATAAATATATCATAATCATAAAAGCCATTTGAAATGTTCATAAGGACAAATGAAAAAGATTTCCTTGTTTACTAGAGGCACCTTTTAAAAAATGCAAAGTCGCAGCAATTTCTTCATAGAATAACACTGTACGACTGCAAATCACAAATGCACTTAACCTTGAACTCATCACACTCAACAACCTCCTGTCCTGAGGTTAAAGTGTTGGACTAGGGCTCAGGAGACCCAGGTCCAAGTTCTCACTTGGCCATGAAGTTCAGAAGATGACTTTGAGCCAGCCACCTAGCCTACCTCACAGGAATGTCATGAGGTTAGAATTAAAAAGAGAATATAGGCCTCCTTGCAGAAAAAGAAAGTAAAAAAAATGAAATACTAAATTAGATAGAACAAAACAAGAAAGTAGCCAATTTTCAGAACTTGTTTTCTAAAAACAGTACCACAATTATAGACAGAATCAACATAAAGGAGAAAGCAGTGCATGCCAGGGTTAAGGCCTTCCAGGGACTGTGTTCACATACCCCTTTCCTCCTGCAGTGAATTTCAGACTTCCAAGCTCACCACCTACATACTTATTCTTAATAATGACCACCGGATGTGACCGGAGACGGCGACCAAATCTCCAGCAGGGAAGGAAATGGGGAGAGCGAGAGCGCGCGCGCACGTCTAAAGGCTTCTATATTCCCGCTAGGCCTCAGCCCCACCCACCTCTTCCTTTTTAGCCAACGACTCAGACGGGGAACGGCCTACGCTCTCTTTCGGCCTCTTGCCTTCGTTTTTCGTTCCCATCGCTGTTATTTCCTCTACACTTACCCTCAACTTTTGCAGACGCTTGGCCCTGGGGGTGGGGTTTGGGGCTTTCTGGCCCCCTCTACCCGGTTACTACGGAGAAGAAACAGGTACGCGACGTTCGCATCTGAGGCGACTGTGACGCGGTGACGTCACCGCGCACAAACAGCGAGTCGGCGCCGCGCACGAAAGGGCCTTTGCTCCGCTGCGCGCTCTTCGGTGACGTCCTAGAAAGCCGCTAACAATTATGCTTGAGGAAAACACAGATCATAGAATTTGCAAAGGGTAGAGTAACAGCTGTCCCAGTCAGGATTTGTTGGTTATTTCGATTTTTTCTGTGCGGTTTCCCGTTTGATTGCGAGTAAAGGCACCGTATTAAAGTGAACGAAGCACAACCAGGGCTGAATTTAATTGAAAGCTGACTTGAGGTAGTCTGAGGGAGCAATGTGACTTTGTCTTCGTTGCAATCTACTGTGCCACGTGTGGGGATATCTTTTTTCTCGAGATGCAAAACAGGCACTAAAAGAACGTGTGAGTGTTCCAATGCATCATTTTAAAGTGCTATTGAATAACTTCCTTGTACATAAGAGCAACTAAGAGAAGTAGACTTTTCTCTTTACATAAAAGCACCATCTAATAGAACGAAACTATAATTTCGTTTTAGTTACAAACTACAGCCTCACTGCTGCAATGACAACAATGAACTACATTGCAGTGCTACTTTCACAGTTACATACTCCTACAATATAGATACAGCACTATCTTTCAGGCTTAGCCGCTGTACCTGCAGAAACCGCCACCTCTACAGTATGAGGATAGCTGTAAAGCACAACTTTAAAATGTTTTAAGCTTAAAAAAAAGCTTTCTTACTTTCCTTTTGAAGGGAGAAACATACTGTTGTTCAAGAATATTATTCTATTGTCTCCTATATACCGCTATGAAGAAAAAATGGCGTCTAAATTAAGGAATATTCTGACTTCAAAACTAAAATGTAATAATTTTTTACGTCTATGGGTTGTTGGGTGTCGCAGTGACGTCGTACACTGTAATACCTAGCGCTTCAGAGAGTTTAACATTGACGTTCTGATTCGGGGTTACGTAGATGTGTCGATAGCTTTGCTTTTAAGTGTATAGTGAGATGACGATAGTACACAACCGGCTGTAATGCTAGCCGTTGATCTGTAACAGGTGCAGTTGTTCAGATTCGAATATTTTGGAGGTGGGAGGAAGTGGAAGTACGGATTCTGCTATAACAGAGCTGTGATTCCCCAAGCTGTGTAAAAATCATGCTCCAGCCACTGGATGTATTTTAATTCATCCTTACTTTTTTTAAGTATTTGCCGATTGTTAACCATCTGCGTATGCAACTTTTGTGTCTTCATTTATGCACCTAAACCTTAGGAAGACCTATGAAAAAATCGGATGCACAAATAAACCTAGTATTTAAAGGAGCTAATAGTGCAACTCTTTGTATGTCTACTCAGAATAATTGACTTCTATGCAGATTACTCCTAAGTAAGTATGTCAAGGATTTCAGCCTAAAATATTTTTGTGGCATATTTTTTCATTAATTGAAGGGAGCCCCATTCCACCAAAGCTTATGCCATAATTATTCTGCTGATGGCACCAAACTACTCTTTGTGTATGCTTATTGTAGCAGACTAAAGGTGCAATTCTTTGCAAGCAAACTTGCTGGGATGTACTTGAAATTGTAGGCCTTTTTTACCATGTAAATTTTTATAGGATTGGGCCCAAAATAAAGCTACCCCTCTGAAATGTACCTGCATAATAGAAAATGCACTGTAACAGGTCTTACCATTGATGGTATAAGGTCTTCCCTTATTTTACAAGGTAATTAAAGACACAGGTCTTCTTCCCTCTACAACTTATTTTTTTGGGGAAAAAGATTATTTAAACCTGTTCCCGTTTTTCGGTGGCAGAACCAACTCAGTCGTGTCACAAGTGATGTATTGCATACAAATATGCCTCTGAGCATGCACAGAATATTTTCCCACGTTAAGGAAATGCCCCTATCATCTTCTAACAGACCTGCTTGAGAACCTGACCCTGAGAACCTTCCCTTTCCATAGGTTGCATCAAAAAGTCTTGTCAGCAACTCTGCTACCGATTTTGGGAACAGAGCGGCATAGCGCAAGACTTTCTTCCACGCAGAAACTCACGCATAAGCTCCTCCCACGCCCTCTGCTCTTCCTCCTCCCACAGCTCACATTTCCTTGGCCTTCCGACGCTAGGCGCCTGCGCAGACTTACGCAATTCACGCATTTTACGGGTAGGAAGAAAGAAGGAACTCCCCCTTGCTCCACGAGCGTTAAGTCCGGCAGAGGAACAAATAAGGTGGGCCGCGAGAACGTCGTAGCAACAACGCTGATCTGAGGTAGCGAGCGGGGGCCTAAGGGGGGGGGGGTCTGTGAGTTTCAGCGGGAGAGACAGACTGTCACCTGGGAGGGCTTCTTCCTGGAAGTATAATTATATCACCCCCGGAGGTGTGTGTGTCATGCAGATTGGAGTGGCCCTCCTCATTTTTATACAGAAAAGTGAACATGCCCCCATCTCTTCTGTATACAATTCTCCATCTGTAGTCAGTGTGGGAGTGTGTGGGCAATAAGAACTCGTGTCCGCTCTTCTTCAGTGGCTTGGGCAAGGAACCCGTGGCCCCAATTGCCACGGCCAGCCGCCAAAGATTATGGGAACTGTAAATCCACTGAGCCCAGAGAGCCACAGTTCCCCCCCCCGCCCCCCGCAACGCGTCCTAAGCATCAGAATAGCTTGCTTTACCACTTGCCCTGCCAATCTTAGGTGTACCCCACTCTGTACCCTAACAGAGAGTACCCCAAGACTTCATGCTTTCCATAAGGGATGGATTTTCTCACTTCTAGGCTTGAGGCAATGGCGATTAATAGCTACCACTGTGAATGGCTTCTACTATTGTAGCCCTCATTTGAAGGTGTAGCTCAGTCCTGTGAGCTCTGGTTTCTTCCCTACATGCCGTCCCCACCATCCCAATGAACCTTTTCACTTCCAGGAATAGAATTGAAACTAAGTTGAAAAGTTGAAAAGTTGAAGTATTGGTATTTATATAGCTGTGGAATGTGTTTGTATCTAAACTATAGGGAACATTGGGGGTGGAGGAAGAATGCTGTTTGATGCTGGGACTGAAGAAAATAATGTATTTTATATTACATTTCCCATAGTCTCTGTAAACCAAGGGTGTGGGGCATTTGTAACCCTGGCTGACAGTGGAACTTAGAATCATTTCAAGTGTCAAATCTCTTGTGCATACAGACATGTACTATTGCTTCTTAGAATTTTACATTAGAATTTGGGCTTTTTCCCTCGGCCTTGGATAGGTTTATGTTTCAACTGACAATCTTTGTTCAAGATCACTTAGCTAATGCAAATCTGCTTCAAGCCTTTATCCACTGGTCATAGTCAGTCTTGGAATTAAGAATAACAGAAGTGTGGATAGTTTCCTAATTCACATTTAGAGCAGAGTATTTGATTTGTAAAGTTGAGGATGGAACCTGGTTGCTGAGGAGGAGAGCAGATTACTTAAATTGGCTGAAGTAAAAGGATGCAGTGCATTGTACATCCTCTAAACTAGGCCTGGATAAACATCAAGCTTGTTAGAATTTACCTTTTTTTTTAAATATAACCTAGTAGTCTGTCAGTCAGTGAGATGCAAAATGATGATCAATTAACTATTGCTTTTGCTGTATACATACCTGCATATACAACCTAGTGGACCATTCATTGTAGTATGGTGCCTAGAGTGTGGGACCAGAGAGATACAAATTCAAAACAATGCTTGGCCATGAAGTTCACTCAGGCCTGTCTGTCTTAGCCTAACCTTTCAGGTTTGTTGTGAGCGTAAAATGAGTGGACAGGATGGGTGAACCATGAGCTCCTTGGGGAAAATACCATAATTATAATTGCCATGACAATATTCAAGTACAAATCTGAATTACTACAGTGTGAAGCATTTTAGTTGTTTATATTAAACAAGAGGGAATAAGAATCCTCTAGCAACTTGTTATAAGTATCTGCCAAGAAGATGGAACAAGTAGATCCTGATCTTTTTTTCCTGGTTACCCCTATGTATTGATAGGGAACAGCAGAAGCACCATTTTTAGGTTAGGGTCTTCACAGGTCTGAAGGTTATACACAGGGGAATATGTGGATGAAATTAACCCTTTCATCCCTACCTAGTCTTTCTTTCTTTCTTTCTTTCTTTCTTTCTTTTTAATAGACTGACTTATTCCAAGCCCAACATTAGCAATGCTTCTAGCTCTCACTTACTTTACACCCATGTGCTGCTCCAGTGTTAGAATTCGAGTGTTGAATCCCAATGTATCAGTGCCAAACCATGGAAATGGGGCCATCTATTGCGATCACTAGCAACACTGATAGGCAAAAACACTGTTTCTTCTTTATCAGGCGTGTATGTATTTATAACCTACATATTCCAGAGCCTTAAATATACTACTATTCCAGTCCTTTGCTGCTTGGAAGGTAGTCCTTTGTATGTTTTATTACTAGAGCTGCTGCTTTAATGTCTATTTATTGATATCTGTATTGTGCTATGAGGCAGCTTGGAGTTAGATAAATATACAACAGACCTCATTCAAAGTCCTGTTCAGTTGTGACATTCAGTTGGCATCTTCTTGGTCTAGTTGTTCTTTCTGCCTAAACTTCTTCACAGAGCAATCATAATGAAAATATAGAAACTGGGATTTTTTTTAAAGACAGTTGCTGCTCTGCATGTTCAAGGACGATGTTCTCCAAAGAAAGGAGCAGTGTCATCCTCCTTTGGGCATTCTTGTGTATTTCCCAAGCTCGCTTGGCTATAAAAATGCAGCTAGTTGGTGGGATGGAGGGAAGTGCTCTGGTTGCTAATGCTAATTTTAGATTGCCTTAGATTGCATACCTTTTAAGGAATCAGTCCTTGTAATTGGAATAGGGAAAGGTTCAATGTTGCAAGTAGTTAGTACTAACAACAAGTACCAAACAGTGTCAGTGCGAAAGGTAACCCTTACAAGAGGTCTTGATTTTCTTGTAGTACTGTGATGTTGGGATTTGCATACGAGTGGAACACCTCATTTATCACAATGGAGTGTCACCAAGTAATAGCATGCCAGCAGGCCTTCTTGGTAGTGGCACCCATACTCTGAAACACCCTCCTAAACATCGTTCAAGAGGCAGGAAGTATGTCAACATTTAAATACCTATTGAAGACATTGGTTTACATAAGCTTTCTCTTAATTGTAATGGATTATAACAATGCTCTGTCTTGTTGCAACGCTTTTTAACTATTTACTATTTTATTGCCCTTTTACTTTTTATAATTGATGTTATACTATGCATATATATGTCTATATGTGTTGTGAATTGTTTAGAAATCTTAGGCTATTAAGGATTGTACAAGTAGTGTAAACACACAAATTACTGCCTGGGACATCAATTTTGTTCCAGCAAGAATTGCAAAAATATTTCTCTTGCCACATAATAACAGGGACAGTCAAGTGTTAGGGATAAGGTGAAGTGCCTTATACAGCAGGAGTCAAGCATGGTGACCTAAGCATAGCTTCTGTACCTTCCCTTTTAGAATGCTTTGTGGTGTCCTGTGATTGGGCTCAGGAAAAGGATTTATCCCTTCCCCACTCTGTACTGATTGCTTCCCTTTGTACTTTCAAGTAAGACAGAAGTGTGGTGCAGCAGCACTCCTGTGTTGCCTGTATGACATCTCGTGGGGTTTTTTTTCTTTTTTTTTGGATCTGGGAGTGTTTCTTGGCTTATGGGCATGTCTTACATTCTAAAGATGCAAATTGTAAAAGTGTGGCAACATGACCACAACTCTTTTTTTAAAGCAAAACGTTGCATGTTAGAACAAAATGTTGTATGACCACAGCCTGCAGATTGCACTACATTTTCCCAATGTGTGTATCTATAGGTTATGGCGTGTTGCCTACTTCTGCATTGCTGTCTTAAAAGTACATTTCTGGTCATTTCAATTCTGAAGATTTGGTGTCTTTTTCTTTTGCTTTTTGCAGTAACCATGAGAAGTGTGTGCTTCTTCTTGGCTGCTCTCTTCATACCATGGGGTTTGTCTTTGGCAAAGTTTGATGAATTTGATGATGGAGATGACATGGTTGAATATGATGATAATGACTTTGCTGAGTTTGAAGATGTGATTGAAGATCCTGTCACAGAATCTCCACAGAGAATGGTTATACCAGAGGATGAGGAGGAGGAAGCCACTGTTGAGCTTGAAGGGCAAGATGAAAGTCTTGATTTTGAGGATGCTGATGCACAGGTGATGGTAGATGAAAGGCCTGACACGTTTTTGGCATGTGTGGGGGTAGATTACTGATGGGGGGTTATGGGATTGACTAGCCTTTTCTACTGGTGAACCTAAATTTTATTTAGCTCATTATTTGTATTTTACATAGAATATAGTAAATAGTTATGTTTGTCTTTGTTTTTGTACTTTTTCAGGAAAACACATCTAAAAGTGCTACTAAGATAAACAGGTTAAAAAGCATAAGACCAATTCAGACAAAGAAACAAAAATGGTCACTGTAGAAAGCAGTAGCAAGATTAATCAGCCAATAAAACTCACAAGTTTCTGCAGTTTTGCATTTCCATCAGAAAGCAATTAGGGTGGAATCCATACCAACATTTAAAGGGAGGACATCCTGACATTTTTGAGCTCCCATTAGAAATGGGTTTGCTTTTTCTAGATGCCTATCAGGGAACAACTGAAGTGCCAAAAACTTAGAAGCTGTAGAAAAACTGTGTAGTGTGCATACATAAGATTTGGTAACTTTCCTCTCCCCCTACCCCATTATTTAATGTGGTTTTAAGGTGGACTTTTGCATCCCTTACACAGCAATCCTATGTATCTACTCAGAAATAAGACCTGTTGAATTTAATCAGGCTTACTCCTACTTACTGCAAATCCTACTACCTTCCTTCTGCATATGGGTTGCCATTGCTGGGGCACAGAGTCATGTAGATGGGTACTCAGGTGGCACATTCTAAATGTCAGATTCTTCTTGGCAACCCAACCCAGGTATATTAAATTCTCATCCATATTAATTTGATTTAGCCTTCCTTGTATCTCAGCCCATGTGATTGTGTGTCTGCCGCCTCCTTGTTCTTTTTATCCATCCAGTGGAGTAGGCCATGACTTATGAAAGTCCAAACTACAGTTAACTAGTCATACTTGAAGGTGTTTGCAGGGCTCTGACTTTCATACATACAGGCTTCTGGGCTGCCTTTAAAACTGCAGCAGGAATAGGACAACTGCATTTTAAAAACAGAGGAACAGCAGATATCTGGAGAGTTGAAGTTAATGGTAGGAAACAGAGGCTATATTTCACTTAACTTTTTGGACTGTAGGAATACTCTTACATTAACTTCAACAGTAAAGTACCATGTCTTTGTATGGTTTGCACAATCAACACATTTAGTGTTGATTCACTTCAAAGTAGCTGGTTCTCCTTTGCTTTGGGAAAGGACTATGAAAGATGCCATCTTATTTAGTCCGGAACCACCCACTTTATTAGACATTTAAGGAAAACCACCAAAACTACCACAGAATTTTCTAGTAGCCATTTTAACACCAAATATCAAGCCCCTTTGGAAAACCCAGAGAATGATTTGAAGGCACATGTTAGTGATTAAAATCTAAATTTCAGCAGCTCAGTGCCTGGGAGGGAGGCTCTTTTAGAAGACCCTTCCCTTCATGGGCCATGCTGAGTTTTCAGAGGGAGGATGATTTATAAGCCAAATAATAATAGCACAGTCCAGGGTGAAACTGGTAGCTTAATGTCAGTGGTAACTTGAGCAGTAAATAGGGATGCATTCAGAGTAGAAACCTGTTTCAATAAAACAATGGACAATTCTGCATCATTTGCTTTCTTGTTGTAGGAAAGTGATACAGAGAGTGAGCCGTATGATGATGAAGAATTTGAAGGTTATGAAGAGAAATCTGATGCATCTCCTGGCAAAAATAAAGATCCTATAACCATTGTTGATGTAAGTGCATATTCTGAGAGTTGTATATGTAGTTCTTAATTAGATTTGTTCATATTAGTTCCTATCCAAAACCAATATTGTTAAGGCTGCAAGCCTTTACACGCTCTTTCGGTGGTAAGTCCCAATGAACTCAGTGGGGATTATTTCTATATTGGCATGTATAGGATTGCACTATTAGTCTTCCTACTTTTGCTATGCACTTTTCCCACATCCCAGTTTCTCCCATATAGTATATAGTTCACAAACTGTGTGAAGTTTTTTTCCTATTCAAGGTTATATTTTATTCCCTTGGATAGCTGTACTGTTTGTCAACATTCTGTCATTCTCCTTGGCTGCTTGGCTTACAGGTAACAGCCATGTTTTAGGTTGTACATGGATGATTTCATAAAATTGTAGGGGTGAAAGGGGAAAAAATATTCAAGTTGGGTACTTGGTAACAAGGCAAGTTAAGCCTTGTTAATCAATCCAAATAGTACAAAAGTGTGGTAAAATCAATAGCAATAATTCAAAGCATTTCACAGATGGAATGATTCTTTGTTTTTCTATCAACTTGCACATCCTCCTCTCTCTCAAACCTGTTTCTTCAAGCCTTTCCTCACCTGTATCTGTGCTTCTATAATGTTAGGAGTTATTTATCCCATGATACTTGCAGTATTTTTCATTGTATCCACAGTTCTTAGGCTGGGCATTATGCTATAGCATGTCCTGTATTTGGACACAAGGCAGACCCTGATTGAAATCCCTTCACTAAAAACTTGTTGGGTAGCCAGTAACTCAACAACAATTACTGCACTCTGACTTCTGAAAAGTATTATAGAAAAATAAGGCAATAAATGAGAAGACAGGGTTATTTTAGTTTCATATTATCTCTTTGCCTGGAGTTTAGTAATTGGTACCGAGTAACTGAATGCAAAATTAAGGTGAATTATAATTTAGGGCCCAAGTTATATTTAGAAATGTTATTTCTCAATATGAAACAATTCAACACAGTCCAAACTCAACAGGTCCCTGCACATCTCCAAAATAGTTGGGAGAGTTACTACATGGAAATCTTAATGGTGACAGGTCTGCTTGCTTACATCATGAACTACATCATTGGGAAGAATAAGAACAATCGTCTGGCTCAGGCCTGGTTCAATAGTCACCGAGAGCTGCTTGAAAGTAACTTTGCCCTAGTTGGTAAGTAGCTTTACAACTGCTTAAGCCTGTCTGTCCTCAGCCTACGTACTTTGCAGTAATCCACAGTAGACTCAAAAGAGTTTGACATTCTAAAAGTCCAACCAGCAAACTCAGACTTGTGGACTTTTTGTTGTTTTACATGTTGTGATTTTACACAAATGCAGTCATAGAAAAATACAAACTAATTTAAAAGCTCAACAAAATACACCTCCCCCCTCTGGTTAAAGCATGAAAATACACATTGTGGGGGATTTGCATATTCCAGATGGATTTGCACATTTTCAGGAGGGAAGATTTGCACAACCTAAAATGCACTTGTGCAAAATCTGATTCTGTCAGTGGGCGGACAACAGAAGAGAAGGCACCTGACAATCTGCAAAATGCAGACAAAAAGGATTTTATAGTGTCCATACCTCCTCGCTCTTTGTCCATAGGGTCAGAATTACAAAACAGGAGCTGGAGTTTCTTTGAGTTAGTGTGGATTAAAGTGGTGTAGTAGGATAGTTTCACCAGGAAGTTGGCAGCAGGGGAAGAAGATAATTTAAGGTGGCAAAATCAGACAGAATTGCAAGAGTATCCTGTTGGTTGGGAAATGGTTCCAAAATGAGAAAATAAAGGAAGATATTAGAGAACAAGTAGAAGGTGGCGGCTGGGTCAAAGAGAGCAATAACATGAACACTGAAGTACTCAAGGAATAAGATGGTGATGTCAGAGGAAGAAGGTTAGTCAAGGATTTTGTTGAGGGGCATGATATTTCATGTAGGAGTAAAGAGTTGTGTAAAATGAACTTTGAATATTGTTCACATTTGAGAGACAGAAGAAGGGATTCAGACTGAGAATAGTAAGCTATGACAAGAATGCTGTGATTACCAATATAGCGTTCAGGTTGTGCAGAAGGAAAGACCATCTGAGCTGTCACCAAAGGCAGCCCTTTATAAATTGCATTGCAGTATAGGCATATAATAATGTGTTTTCATTTATTAACATGTGCTCTCTTTCAAGGGGATGATGGCACAAATAAAGAAGCCACAAGTACAGGCAAGCTGAACCAAGAGAATGAACATGTTTATAACCTTTGGTGCTCTGGAAGGGTGTGTTGTGAAGGAATGCTTATTCAGCTTAAGGTACGAGACAGTGCAGCTTTGAGTGTTGCATGCTTTTAAATATATGAACATCGAATATTTAGTCAATGAGTGCTCATTCTAAAAAGGCAGGAGCCCAGTACAAAAGATACGGCTTGGGACCAAGATACCTGAGGGAGTGCCTTTCTCCATATAGTCCTACTCATCCACTTTCCCTACCCTATTCATCTCTTCAGATGTCCTCTGTGTGCACTCCCCTAGTGAGGACAAAGGGAAAAGGGCTAGGAGGAGGGCATTCTCAGCAGAGCACCCAGACTATGGAATTCACTCCATAGTCACTCCATGCATGGATGGTGATCCTACAATGTGATCTGGAGATGTGTGATGCAGTTACTTTCCTAAGCATGTCTAGACGTAATTCACTGGCTGGACTGGAGAAGTTAAAAATAACTTCTACCACCTGGGAAAGTTATATATGACACTTTCAATTCTCTGATAGATAAAACATAGGTTCTCAATGTAATAAAATAAGCAGGCAATGAAACATACACATATGTTGTAACTAGGAGCTATATAGAGCTTCCTTGCATTTCTTGAATGCTTCATCTGCATGCACAGGAAATGCTGTGTCACTCCTTGACCGAGTTTGTTATAATCAGTTTTGAGGAAATGGGGCATCCTTATGTCTTCAAGGACATGGCAAGTTATGCTAAGTCTGAAGTGGGTATTTACCATGATCAAAATGCTGTCTTTCAGTTTCTCAAGAGACAAGACTTACTGAATGTCCTTGCTCGTATGATGAGGCCAGCCTGTGATCAAGTGGTATGTATTTAGCAATGTAACCTAAGAACAAGTACAGTGCAATTAAGTTATTGAAATGGTTTGACTAGCTTATTAAACTTAGAGCTGTGTGCATTTGAAGCCCCCACATTCCCACCGAGAATCTCTGCTTTCTTTGATTTAAAAATTCCCAATAAGTTTCCAGACCTTGTGGCCTTGAAGAATGGTCTTAATTTGAGGTGTTTTTGTATACTGAAGCCATAGACGTCTGAACATTGTTTCAGGTCAGAGCCTAGGGCTTTACCTCTTTATATATACACTTTCCTTCTCTATGACTATTGGAACCAAAATCAGTTAAGCAAGAATAATTACAGAGACACTTTATTATTCATTCAAGTCACAGAATTCTGCATTCTTTGTATAAAATTAAGAAAAGTTCCTCTTATGGCATGCTACAGATGTGAAAACTAATAATACTCTGTCATTCATTCTTCGCCCGGAATCATATAGAGTGATTCAAGATACATCTTCCAATTACTGTTCAGAACAGGAATAAGTGTAGGGCTGCAACTAAAGGTTGCCTTGCCAATATCTGCTATTTCTTGTTCATTGTAGAGGACTCCTTTAGGACTTTTGTTCCTGCTTTGGGAATATACTATACAAAAAAACCCAAGTGAAACAACATTTAATTGGTGTGGCTGATTGAAGAAATGGTTACATTTCTATGCAGTTCAGTTAATTCTGATGTGATTTCAGTAATGCCATTTGAATTTGTTAGGATGATGAAGTGTTATTAAAATGTTCAAATAGTGGTCTGTTTGCTGCTCAAGAGGGTTTCAGGTTTGCTCATTTGGGATTGTGCTATGAAAATCAAGTAGTTAGTTATTTTATGCCTCTCCAATATTTATATTTTAAGGGGCTCTCAGAATTTTCTGGGGTATCCCATCATGACTAATGGGAGATTACCCATTAGCTAATGGTGAATAAACAGATCACTGAGCCTGTTTATGCCCTTGGCAGTGACATCAATTTCTGGTCTGCATTTTTTTCCTATTTCTTGTATCAATGGATTGTGCAAACCCAAGTATGACTAGCATTTTATCTGTTGCCTAGCAAATAAAAGTGACTATGAATGATGATGACATGGACACCTACGTATTTGCTGTTGGGACAAGAAAAGCCTTGGTCCGGCTTCAGAAGGAAATGCAGGACCTGGTATGTACTGTGGCAATGAGAGGGATCCAGAAAGCCCTGGGTTAGGCTAATACATCTAAAAAGTGCTTTGAAACAATTAACATAGCAAAAATGCCCAGTTTTATCTTATGTGTAGATTTCTTTAAGTCTATCTGTTTTATGACATAGCTTGCTCCTAAGAATCCAAACTAGGGGCAGTTTGCTATGTTGACTGAGAACATTTAAGCATAGTGGTCAGGTCACTTATCACAATAATAACCCAGAATGTTTTTAAATTTCTGTGTTGGTTGATCCAGTTTGCCTGTTACAGAGATATGCCAGGTGGCATTCCTCTTGTACACTGCTGCCCTTTAAAATATGCCGCTTCCAGTTGGACTGATCGTAGGTTGCTACAGGACATAGAGCTGCCAGATTGCTGATCGAGACCAGTAGGAAAAAAAATACTACATCAGTCCTATATCAGCGACACTGGCTACCAATTGAATAAGATCCTAATGATGACATATAAATCCCTAACCAAATTAGGGCTTGCTTATCCAAGGGAACATCTCCTTACATATGAGCCTGCCCAGACCTTAAGATCATCTGTGGAGGTCCTGCTCCAAGAACCCTCCTTGAAAGAGGTGCAGAGGGCTAGTATGAGGAGGAGGGCCTTTTCTGTTATAGTGACTTGATTATGTAATTAGCTTCTCAGAGAGGTGGGCCTGGTGCCAACGTTATTTGCTCTGCTGCCAGGCCAAAGCCTTTTTATTTACCCAGGTTTTTAAACTGTTAATTGGTATTTTAATTATTTTATATCAAGAATTGGCACTAAGGAATTTTCGTTGTTGTATTGTTGATTAAATTGTTTTCAATTTTTTGTTTAAACCATCATGAGATTTTTAATAAATGATATTACAGTAAACATGCGAGCCAAGACACTTTGAGTTGTTCATTGATAAAATAGCCCAAAGTTACCCATTACTTGCAAACCAGCCCTGTGTGAATTTGGCAATGTGGCAATGCATGCTGCTTGAGTGTGTCCCCAGCTTGTTTGCTGTGACATGTAAGCCAGGAACTCTGCCTTTGTCTCATCCAACTCCGGATTGTCAGTGGAATAGCAAGCCAGAACTCCTGGTTTGTGTGTCATGGCAAACAACTCTGGGAGTCCCGTTTAGGTGTTCTGCTTGCAACAGCAAGATGTAGGTAGCTTGCATCAGCTTCTTGCCACATTCATAGTACCTCATCTTAAAAAACAACTTTTTGTGTGTGAGCTGGTCATTGAAGTTGTTTGGATATACTACTAAGCCATGGTTTGATGTGATGTGACGTGATTGAGCTTCACAGGACCCTCGACTCATGCATTGTGTGTTCCCCTCATGCACTCTGATTCCCTCCATCCCCAATGTGTGACAACTATGTCTACTGAACGGTCACGCTATGGTTTCTGTTTGTCCTGCATACCAGGATTGAAGCCTGCTGTTTCAATCCAGGGGAGAGAGGAATCATGGCACATGAGGAGATGAATGAGAGAGAGGAAAAAGGTCTGTTGCCATATCCAGTCTCCTTTATGATTATAAAAATTATCTTCACATCTATTTTCTCAGAGTATAAACCATATATCTGTGTGATAAAGATTTTGGGACTCAGTCTTTCATCCATAGAGGTGTTTCAGAAAGACCTTAGCTTATAAAACCTTTCCAGATTCAATTTCTAAACCACTTATGAAAACCTGTATCGTAAATTGCTTCAGTATGTAGAAGCTCCTGGTGTCCAAAAGTGTTCTGCAAATTGATTTTTTTTGAAGCAGCCTGCTATGCTTTAGAACAGGTGTTTTTGTAAGAAATATTCAATAAACAAATACTAAGAATGTCACTTTAATTGTTTTCAGGTTGCCTAACATGCCAAGCATATTTTCCATTTGTACTAGTTCTGAGAA